CTGCTCTCTACTTACTTTCTCCACTATCGATGCCCATTCTGGTTTTCCATTGTGTTCCAACACCTTACACTGCTGAAACTACTGAATTGAGGGAGTTTACAGATATATATTTTTAAAAGGAAGAGGAGAATTGAGCACTTTATTTTTTGTGAAAAACAAGATACAAGGAAGATAGATCCAACCAAGATCCTATTTTCCTGACCTAAATAGCAAGTGCTTGTTATTTTGGTATGAAAGTGTTGCTGATGAAGTGGCACAGATCCCTGAGCGGCTCTCAGAGCCATCTCTGAGCACAGCACAAATTGAATGTTCTATGATGTCTGATATGTTATGGGATGTTGGAGCCCTGGCAGAAACCAGCAAGAGCAAGAACACAGAAGGATGAGCTATGCCACACAGCCCAGTCACTCACAGCTAGCAGACAGAACAGGATATCCTAAGTTGAATATAAGTCTCTTGTTTAGGTTTGCAGTGAGACAGGAGATTTTTTACCTAAACATGTCTATCACGGCATTCTTTTGCTGCAGCTTTGGCTTAATTCTCTGAAAAAAAAAAAAACAAAAACCAAAAAAAAAAACCCACAAACCTGCAAAACACAGCTGGGTGTACTTGAATGAAAAGGTAGAAGAAATGTATTTTTTTTTTGCCCTCAGATTTGCTGTCAGAAACAAACTCCTTCCAGTTCTGAGGGATGACACGTTTTGAGCAAGATGTCCAAAGTGCATGAACAAAATGTAAAGTGTTTCTAACTGTAAATGTTTTTGCCTTGTTGCTCAAGTAGTATGAGATCAGCTAGGAATAACCATATGCTCCTCACTTCTGAGATTTGATGTTATTGTCCTTATGTTAAGAATCTACCTGCTTATTATTAGTATGTTAAGAAGCTACCTGATTCAAATAGTCTTTAGCTTGTTTTCTAATCCCCTCCCTCCCCTCCCTTTGAATCTATAAAAGAAAAGTTCAGACTTATGTCTTCAAAGAACCTAGTGAAGCAGAATTTTTCTCTTCATTTTTTTTTTAATGTCATAATTATTAGTGAAAATAGGGGAAAAAAATTGTGACAGTAAAGCTAAACAACAGATTGCCAAGGGGTCGGGCATGTCCTCCACACTGGAAAACTTTCTGCCAATTTTGGATGTCTTCCTTGCAGATATGCTCTAATTCAATCTGCACAGCCCATATTATTTTTTCCTAGGGAAACACGGACCCCCATATGGATAATTTAAGTCAACTGACTATGGGCATACCTTTTTTTAACCTACGTTTTCCCAATTACTCTGAAGTAGTTGTAACTCCTTGGGGATTACCAACCATCGCTTGGAATGCCTACTTCAAAGACAAGTTGCTGACTTGATACAAAAGTTAGAGAGAGGGAAAAGGATGGTCTGTGTAATGAGCAAAGTCAGACTAGATGATTGTAACGTTCCCTCCAGCTTTTACATTTGAAATGTGACTATTGGCAGTGCAAATGCCTTTCTTGGATGATGCTACACTTGATTCTCAGAGATCTAATAGAAAGGAGAAGCAAACTTGTTCAAACTTAGCACTTCAGTGGTTTTTCTTTTAAACTCCAGCAGCACTTATTAGCACTGAATGTTAGTCTTTTTTCTCCTGCGTTACTCCAGTCCAGTAGGTTTGTGTGTGTTTGAGAACAAAAGAAAAAATAATTGAAGGTGTAAAAAAAAGAAAATATTCTCAAAAGCTCTTGTCAAATGTACCATATTTGTATGAAAAGCTGCTTGAGTTATTTTGTACAATGAGTTTTATTTATGGTGAGGTATATTTACGCTCGTGGTCTGATACAGTGTTAAATTTTTGATCCATATTTGCTATGCAGCTGAAGATGATATTTTGGTTTTGTATTATTTTTTGCTGTTGTTCTAAAATTCAGCTAACAGAAGCTTCCATATCCATTACAAATGCTTCTGCAAGAGTAAAGCATCTGGTACACGGTGATATGTCCCGTAACACAGCAACAACAGTGTGTGCAACAAATGTGGGATGACTTGTGATAAAGAGAAATAAAAATTGGGCTCATTCATGAAATGGGCAAACTTTATCTCATGGTGTCACTGTCATTTGTAGTAACTGTTATTTGAGGAGAGACTCTGATCACTCCTGGCAAAAGGAGAACACTAAGAGGGATGATGCATTTTGTTGCTAAAAAAAAAGTCAAGATTTTGTCAAAAACTACAAAGGAAACTGAAACTTCATGGCCAACAGCAAAACAAACCAACAAATTTTCCTATCAGAAAGTTGGTCTTTGAGGGAAACATAATTCTGCCACAAACTTTCATTTGAAAACTTCTGGAAGAGAATGGGGGGAGAATTATAGAACTATCTGTAATAGCATTTGACAGGCCCTAGTCAAAACAAAGCTAAATGAGCTCATCTCACTACCACAGCCCTACCAGCTTCACAGGGACTTTTCATCCCAGGAGACAGCCCTTGCTATTTTCTCCCAGATTTCCATTTGCAGCCATTCTTTGGTTCCTATTAAAAGCCCCAAGAGCTGCTGGGTGCTGGAGCCTGGAGCCACCCCTTGCACTGAGCATCCAGCTCTGAGAGTCTGACTATTGGATAACCAACCCCAGCAGATCATTACCAAAACCACAGACCTACATCCTTCTTTCTTGTGTATCTAAGTATCTTTATGTCCTCAGATTAATGGCACTCTGCCACTGAGAATAACAGTTCATGCATGATTGCTTCACAATTTCAGCTGTAGCAGAGACCCTTGCTGTAACTCCTGCAAGCCAGCAGCACCTTTTGAATCTAGTTTTGCTTCACGTAGAGCTCTGATGCAAACACCCAGCAGTTAAGAGCTCTATAAACAAACACTCTACTGCCTGTATGTCACTTCACCTCACAGCACGTGCTGCTGATCTGAAGCTTTAGGGCTTCCGTTGCCCACAGAACATCCACCCTATCCATCACCAACCCACCACCTCTCTTCTGCCACCATCTGTAGTTTATGGGGGCTCAGGGACCCAGATGATTATACTGATCTGGATAGAGAAAATAACCCCACAAGTGAAGCAGGACGTGCTTATTATGGCCTTATAAACCCACACAGCTCAGCTGCTCTTCAGCAGAACTACAGATACTCACTCTGGCACTGGGAGGGCAGCACAAGAGTGGGAACCCGTTGTGGGTGTGACAGACTGGGAACTCCAAGCTGGTGTCATCTGAACTCCTGCAGTGTGAAATGACAGCCCCAGCCACTGCAGGCAAGGTTACCTGGAGAGATAACTTGAGCTAAAAGCTGTCTGCTCAACCACATCCAGTCCTACAAGCTTTTACGCTGCTGTGCTGCAATCACCCGAACACCAGGCATTTCCTTTTGCCCCTACACCACCAGGTCACTGTCAGAAAGAGGATTTATCTCCCTTCAAAGCAGTAAATCTCAAACTACACTGAGCCATGGTTGAATATTGCAGCCCTGTTCTCAAAGTTCCCACAAGAACAATGTCTAGCAGACACCCAAGGGCAGACTAGTAGCTGCTAGTAGGATGCTTCCACCATTGTAGCAATACACAGGATGGGTAACAACTATTTTTCCACCATTTTTTTCCAGTCCTATAAAGAAGAAGAGAAGTGGAGTAGAAAGAAAAGCCTTTTGATGTTGCTAAAGATATCATTTGCATGCAAAGCTGTCTTGCTTTATCCTCTGGACTGCAGTCAAGTCTTTTGGCTTGGGGAACCAGTATTTCAGGAGGAACCACATTGCTACAAGATGAGCCACTATAGCAGACTCCCTCATTTCTGATGAGCTGGACCTTATTTTTAAGGAAGCACCTGATGTGAGTATCAACCACTGAGCTCACAGCTTGGAGCTGAATTCCCCTAATTACTGCCTTACCATTAAAACAAGGATATGAACCAATAACAGAGGCACTGGTTGCATCCCTGCTTTATCGTTATCGGTCTGAACTTGTCCTTGACTAAGAGTTGCAGGCAATTCTTTGCCAAGCCTTCCTGGCTTTTAACTCCCGTATTGCCATATGCAGCCTTGCTAAATCCATCAAACGCAACTCCTGCGACTTAGTGATTTTATATACAACATCTCCACTGCTCCTATACTAGAAAGATGTGACACACATGTACCACATCTGATTGCAACATCTAAGTGAAGCTTTTCTCATAGCGGCGAAAACTCCACACGCTCCCTCCTGATGTCTATCAATGAACTTGCACTACTGCATTCTCTCCTTCTGGATCCTCACCCCCCTCCACATCTCCTCTCTTCCCAAAGCTCAGAAGAACTTCTCTTGGAGATCTCACCCCTTCCCAAACCTGGCAAAATTGGCCCATGGGGTCAAATACATTTGGGAGTAAAGATGCCAAATGCAGTCAACTCTTCATTTAGGAAGTCAGGCCACCAAGGGAAGGTAAAGCTGTGATCCAAAGCGTCTTTTGCTTTCAACCATGTCATCACCTCTGGTTTGGCAGCATAGTTATCACTGATGAATCACCAACCTTTAATTTCCTACACCAGAAACCATTGCCACACCATTTGGACAGCTATCAGACGTTCCTGTGATGGAGGGCAGGACATGGGATCTGGCCAGCACAGCCTTTCCCAGCCCCGAGTGTGGCTGATGAACTGGCCCAATTAAAGTCAAGATGACTCCCATAGCACTCAAACATGACATTTGCTGGAGAGCAGAGTTGTACAGAGATACAATCAGTCACTGAGTGAAAGATGCACACGGTGCTGGCAACATCGCAGCTTGATGGTGTAAGGGCAACTTCTGTAGCAATGTACAGGCAGTGTATTTCATGGTGAGAGGAAAAAAAAAATCAAAAAGCAAATTTTGAAGCATTAAGCCCTGCAGATCTTACATTTTAGTTATTTTTTTAGTGGCTGGAGGCAGCAAAGTCTTCAACTGCAGCTGCAGGTGAAACCATGCCCTGCACCTCTTGCCCTTTGTAGCACAGCACATGTCCTCTGCTGATATTTGCTTTGTGCTTGTGCTGGAGCCCAGCCTCTCCCTCTCTGATTCGAAGGCCGGAAAAGCGATTAGGGAACGCGCCTCTGTGCAACAAGTACACGACTGAGGAAATCCCTGCTCGCACTCGAAATCTCCATTGAGATACATCAACCTTCCTTGTGCTACAACTCATTCCTCAGCCCCACGATTTGCCCTTTGCATCTGCACACAGCCGTAACGCTAAGCAGGGAACAACAGACACCAAAGCTCACATTTGAGGGGACGCCTTCTGAACCCCTTCCTTGCTACACCACAGGGAGCAGCCCCAACCCCCAGGGCAGCGCGAGGCGCGCAGCGCAGCGACGGAGGAGGAGCCGCCCGGGCAGGTGTGCCTGCAGCCAGCACCGAGCCACTGAGAGCACCACGGAGGACTGAGGGGATGATGATGGAGCCGCTGGAGACCAACGGCAGCTGCAGCAACGGTGGGTGCAGCCCGGGCTGGGGGAGCAGGGCTCCAAGCAGTGGGAAGCAGGGGGTGCCCCAAAGCCGGGGCTGATCTTTGTCACTGGTTGGTTTCACAGGTGGTTGTTAGCCGGTAGGTAGCTGCCTCACCCCACTGCCTTCCTGCTTGCTCCCTGGAGAGCTGGATGCATCCACCTTGCCTAGGTAAAGGAGCTTTACCTAGCCCCTTTTCAGTGTAAGGGGCTGTAAGAAGGAAGGGGACAGACTCTTGAGCATGGTCTCCAGACAAACAGAAACGGCTCCAAAATAAAAGAGAGGAGATATAGATTGCATATAAGGAAGAAGTTTCTGCGATAAGGGTGGTGAGGCACTGGCACAGGTTGCCTAAGGAGGTGGTGGTACTCCGTCCCTGCAGCCAAGGTCAGGCTGGAGGGGCACTGAGCACCTGGTGGAGCTGTGGGTGTCCCTGTTCAAGTGCAGTGGAATGAGACCAGATGGCCTTAAAGGTCCCTTCTTATTCAAACAATCCTGTGACTCTATGAAAATGCCCCCCAGTACCCTGGAAAACAGTTCCACAGTGAAGGTTATTTTTCCATTAGAGAAAAAAAAAAAAAAAAAAAATCTCTTAAAGAATCTTCAGAAAAAACATTGGATTTTTTTTTTCCATTAGAAAAAAAGATGGATCTAATTTGGATCCAAACCCTCAGCTGTATGTGCAGGGGATGGGTGGAGGCTGCAGAAGATTTAAGGCATTTTCTTTGGGGAAGAATAAGGTGGGACCCAACTCTTGGAGAGCTGTGAGCCACAGAACATCAGCCTGCAGAGGGGTAATTGTTCCATTCATATTTCCAACATGATTTGAAGCAGAAAGCTTGTCATTTACTAGAGACAGATTTGTATACGACACTCCCGCTGGGTGCTTTGTTCCAGCAGAGCACAGTCACACTGTCCATGCTCCACTCCCAGCTCAGATCGCAATAGGAAGATGTGCTGGGTGGGGTAGCTCAGCAATTTTCCCACCCACACAGCCACACACACCCCAAGCAAGATACTCCAAGATTTGGTGCTTTTTGTGTGGGCAGCAGAGAGCCATGCCTGTGTTCAGCCCTTCCACACTAGCAGGACTTGATGCCACCACTCTCAGACATGCAGTCTGATTCTTGGGTGGTCCTCCGCAGAGCCAGGAGTTGGACATGATGGTCCTTATGGGTGCCTTCCAGTTTGGGATATTCTGTGACTCATGAGCACACAACTGTCCATAAATAGGGGTAATAAAACCAATACAGAGAGGGACCTTTAATCTGGGACAAACCTGTTGTCCTCTTATTAGCAATCATGTGGCCCCGCTCAGTACACGGAGCTGGGACAGATTCACAGTTACAAAATACTGGCACTGCTCCACATTAAACTTAAAGCAGTGAGCTGCAGGCAACAGGAAGATGTCAGGATTAGGTGGCTGTAAAGCACCAAAGCCTTTGGATCAATACTGAACACTGGCAAGGTATAGTTCAACCTCATAATACTGGAGTTTGGTGGAGAGATTCTAGCATAGATGGTTGGAAATTCAGATTAATTATAGTGGTCCTTGTGGTCTTCCAGTTCACTGCAAAGGGCTCTGCAGGCACAGTGTGTCAACGAGCTGCTTGAGCTGCATCCCAGAAACCAATCACCAGACATCCTCCTGCTTCCATGTAAGTGCAGAGGTGTCCTGAGTATGAGAGACTGATTAAAGCATTGAATGGCACTCTTGACAGCCACATTAATAGTTGTTGTATCTCCATGTTCTCACAGGGTCTCTGCTCTTCATTTCATGCCTTTCCCATCGAGTTGTGTGCCAGGTGGTCAGAGGTGCTGATCTGGCTGACCCTGGCCATGACAATGGGACTGGGGACACCTCCTGGGTAACACGGCTGGAAAGTAACTATGGATTCTACATTGGTCTGGGCTTGGCTGTCTTCTCCAGTTTCCTCATTGGCAGCAGCATCATCCTCAAGAAGAAGGGGCTGCTCCGGCTGGTGGAGAAGGGAGGCACCAGGGCAGGTAAGGTTTTGTGTAGGGCAACACCTTGGTGTACACGTGCCAGCCTTTAATCAGCAGACCATTTGTGAAATGGGCCCCATTGCACAAAGGTGAAAGTCATCCCCATGCCACAGCCTGGAGCAAGATAGTTCAATTTCATGCCTCCCCCCGCTCACACTGATACATCAGACATCTTTGCCACCAAATCCCTGAAACAAGGACGCATCCCCATACGCTTGAACCACATTAGCAAAAGTCATTTATTTATGCACATCTGCACCCCTGCAATTTGCGTGAGCCCTGCCGTGGTTTTTAGAAGTGATACATCCAAAGCATGTTGCTCAACAACGTGTTGGCTCATAACTTTCTTTTAGTGCTGAGGTTCTGGGGTGAGGTCTGTGTTTATGGATGGGGATGGTAGAGGAACGTGCCTGAGCTGAGTTGCACTGTGCAATTGGGCACAGCCCATCAACACTGCAAACATTTGCTCCAGCAGCAGCCTAAGTCCTACCTGGCGGGTGACCTACTTACATAACTACTGACAAAATGATGATAATTAAAATACTACTACTTCCTACCTGTGGTCTAGGAAGTGCTCTTAAGTCATTTACAAAGGAATTCAATATCTCCATCTCCATGCAGGGACACAAAGGCATGAAAAGGCAAGGTGTCTTATAAGCAGCAGATGAGCTAAGCCAACAATATGCCTCCTATCCCCACCCCATACATTAAGCTGTCCCCTTTGCAATGGTGAACTCACATAGGTTTGATTTTCAGCATTGGATTTGTACCATGAAATATCAGTGTTGTTTCAGTTGTGGAACTCCCAACATCATCTTACATTTCAGAGCCAATCTAGTTAAACAAGAGCAAACTCCTTCCTACCTGAGGATGTTTTACCAGGAATTGATGACAAAAAAGTCACAGCCAACAAGAAAAAAGCTACAGGCAAACAAACCAGCAATTTTATAATTTCTAAGGAACACCAGAGCACAACATTTAAACTTCATCACTTGTTAAGGAACCAGAAGTTGAATTATAGCAGAAAAAAGAATTCTGTACCTCCTGAACTCTTCTTAGGCATACCTTCATTGCTCCTTCTCCTGCCTCTCCCCCTTCTCTTACTCAAGTATTACAGTATTTCAGCCCTCCTATGTGCACACATCAACTTTCTATAACACAGTTCTAGCAGTGCATAGACCATTACCATCAGCTCCTGCTATCAGTCTCTCCAACCCAGTACCCTCACAAAGTCACCATGCCCAAGCTCCTGCCATAGAACAGCTTGTGGTTAAAGACTAGAGCTTGATTAGTTCCTGGCACAGTGCACCCATGCTTCCTCATTTTTATTCACACTTTCCTTTGTTGAGCTTCAATACCAGGAATCATTTACCAGATTCCACTTATTTCCATTTATCAGAAATAGCCACTAAATGAGAACATAATACAAAGGCAACATTAGGATTCATGACATTTCAGACTGAGACCTTAAGGCACAAAGCAACATGCAAAGCAGCAGATAACATATGGATAACTCCAGGGCACCTAGAGCCCTCACCAGTACACAATACAGCAACACCAACTAATATACCACTGGCTCACACAACGCAACCATAGCCATAAAAAAAAAAATTCCCTTACCTTAGTGCCAACACGTGGTTCTTCATAGAGATCCAATGGGGATGCAAGGTCCAGCACAGCAGCTCCATGGAAACAGTCTCTGTGTAGAGGCATCCAGCAGGGCACAGCCACCACTACCCTCAGCCCCAGGGTCATCTGGGGAGGGACACCTAAGCCAAAGCACATCCAGCCCCCAGAACCTCAGCACAGGCATCCACTGGTGGCTTCAGAGGCACGATCACCATGATGAATCAGTGAGGAGCACCACTACAGTCCATCCCAGTAATCTGCTACTTTGGGGCAGTACATGCCATTCCATGAAGATCAAGCAGCTGCTTTTATTGCATTTACATTGTCTGCCAATAGCTGTCACTTTCTGCTCATGCCTTGAGCCTACATAACTTCTATGTTTGCACTTTCTGTCCTTCCAAGCCATTTTCTTTGTCATGCTCTTCTCAGTGTGGCTTATTCCTTTTCAGAAGGCCATTTGTCTTCTCTCATCATTAACTCCTGCCTGCTTTGCTTTCCCAGGAGATGGAGGCCATGGCTACCTGAAGGACTGGCTCTGGTGGGCTGGCTTGATAACGAGTAAGTAGAAGCTATTGCCCTGGGTTTGCAGCATTTCCTGGTACCACTTGAACCAGGTATGAACAAGTCCAGCATTAGTTGCTCAAAGCCTCGTTTAGTTCCCTGCTCCTCGCAAGGCCTAAGGAGGCAAGTGAGCTGTACACCTCCCCCACCATCCTGCTGCAGCCCTCCTGGAGGGCTGGTAGTACTCAGCAGCTCAATTTTGCTTAATCAAAAAGCACACAAAGACAAAACTGAATAGGGCAGCCAGCTGTACCAGGCACAGGGCAAACAGCCTCCTATGTGCAACTCAGGAGATCGGGAAAGGTCACTGCTGCAGCAAGGGTGATAACAAGCTGTTGGTAGCAGCTCCTTTCTTAAAGGAAAGTTTTTTTCCCTTAGAGCAACCCTCTAAACTTTCTTTATATGCAAAACAATATAACACCTTTCCAAACTAGAGTTACACAGAGAGTAACAGATTCCACAGGAAAAGTTTTCAGAGCTGTCTTCCCTGGAGCAGCAGCAACAAGGAATACCCCCACCTCACTCTGCTCCTTCAGCTCCTGCTGTACAGCCCATAACAGCATACCCACAGACAATTTATAGCTGAGGAGCAGCTTGTGCCCTACCAGCACTCCGGGGCTCCAACCACCCAGTAATGACCCAGATGCACTGCAGCTGTGTGCCTGGATTGGTGATTTAGTAAGCTGATGGGAGTCAGCTGTGGCCCAGTTTGGCACCCTCGGCCTCTTTGTCTGCATAAGTTTGTGCTATGGAGACTTTCCCCCAATCTGGCCCTATTTAGAAGCAGCATGAAGGCCCTTTCGTAAAACCCAACCTCTAGTTTGGAAGCTTGTAAGAGAAAGCACAAAAAGCACATTGTAATTTGCCAGTGTTTGTTTTTCCTCTGTTTATTCAGTGGGTGGAGGAGAAGCTGCCAACTTTGCGGCCTATGCCTTTGCTCCTGCGACCATTGTCACACCTCTGGGGGCCCTCAGCGTGCTCATAAGGTGATGTGTGTGCCTGGGGTTTGCAGCTGGGCTGATCTGTTCACCTGTTTGTCTATAAGACAGGAATACTTGGAGTAATGTGAATGTGAGGAAAGGATGTCTTCTAAAAATACCCCAACTGTTGCTGTCTTTCGGGGGTATCACCCAGAAAACACTGAATTAAGTGCTGTGCCCTTAAAATGCTGCAGGTGGCTGTGAATAGCAGCTGCGTACAATTCATGTTAAATTACTGCAATTAGCAGCGTGACTTCTTCCATTGCCTTCACTCTTCAGCCAGTAAAAGGATATTTTTTTCAATAATAAACAGCACTAAAAAAGCCTAAATATATCAGAAATGCTACATTTGATTTAACTTTGTCTCTATTTTTGCCTTGTGTTAAAAAGGCTCTGGGCACTGAAGGTTCTGTGGAAGTTGTTTCCGGGAAATGCATAAGCAAATGGAGATTGCTGTGCTGTCTCGGATTGTTTCAATGTCATGGGAAACAACTCTTTTTTTTTTTTTTTTCCAGACATTTTTACAGCCCTATTATACTCAGATTTCTCTGGGGCTTAATATTTCTGATGATTAAGTTAAAATTAATGTAGCAGTTTTGTGTTTGGTTGTTTTTTTGTTCCTCTCTATTGTAGTGGCCCTTGAATTCAATTCTCCAGGCGCTAAAGGTTTCATAATGCCCATAATGCTCATGAGTGAATTAGAAAACCTTAGAAATGTCTGCTGGGATGTGCTGACACATTTGGCCCTTCTTCACCTTGCTGGTGCATGAGCTGTGGTCTTCAGAGCTCCAACTCTGCAAGTTCAGTTGTCAGCAGATGCAGCATGAATGTGTAATAACATGCAGGAATCCTGCAAATGTATTCCAAATTGGTGTCCTCCTATCATGTGCTCTACATCATTTTAGATGCTGCTTCCTCTTTAAAGGACTTTGAAGTAACAGCAGCCATTGTTTTTCTGTCCCATGCAGTGCCATTCTGTCTTCGTATTTGCTGGGAGAGCGGCTCAACCTGCTGGGAAAGCTGGGCTGCATGCTGAGCCTCGTGGGCAGCACAGTGATGGTGATACATGCACCAGAGGAAGAGGAGGTCACCACTCTGGATGAAATGTTATTTAAGCTGAAAGAACCAGGTACGCAGGAGGTTGTGTTTGGAGTTGGGCAGTAGTACTGCTCTGGCCCCCATGCCAACTCATGTTTGAGTTGTTGTTTCTTTGTTTCTTTCCCCTTCCAGGTTTTCTTGCTTATGCTGCAGTCCTTCTGGCTGTCTGCTTCCTCCTCATCTTGTACCTCGCACCTCGCTACGGGCGGAGCAACATCCTCATCTACCTCACCATCTGCTCCATTATTGGGGCCTTCTCTGTGTCCTCAGTCAAGGGCCTGGGTATTGCCATCAAGGGCTTCTTTGCTGGCCAGCCCGTGCTGCAGCACCCACTGACGTGGATCCTGGTCATCACGCTGGTAGCATCCATCACTACACAAATTAACTACCTCAATAAGTCTCTAGACATTTTTAACACCTCTTTGGTGTTTCCCATCTACTACGTTCTGTTCACCACCATCGTCATCACAACTTCCATCATTCTCTTTAAAGAATGGGTGGCCATGACTGTAGTGGATATCATTGGGACAGTTTGTGGCTTCCTAACCATCATTTTGGGAGTGTTTTTACTCCATGCCTTCAAAGACATGGACGTCAATTTAGGGAATCTGCCACAGGTCCTCCAGAATGAACAGGAGGCACCGGTCACCCGAGATGACAAGAACATCCTGATAGAAGTGGACAACTCCAGCATTGCTCCGGAGGATAAACCAAAAGTATTCATGATACTTACCATGTTACATTTAAGGGTTTGGAGGTGGGGCATAAAACTAATCTGAGTAGGTTGATGCCAGAATTCCACGTGCTGTTGAGCAATTTAAGGAAAGACAAAAAATTAAAATCAACAGTGTCTTATCCAAAGCTCAGCAGAGTTAAGCCAAGTCTTTCACTGGGCTTGCACTGGATCTTTGGCATGGGGTGGCAGCACAGAGCACGTCAAATTGTCACTGGGCTTTAATGTATAGTGTCTCTGAAAATCTTCTTGAAATGTGGTACTCCTGGGACAAAGACCCTCTTTGATGCCCCTTGCCATCTCTTATCGTTGGCAGGGCTAGTGTTTACTCTGTACTCCTACCCCTGGGTAGAAATATCATCAGTGTATTTATTTATAGGCCTTGACTGATTCATTGATTACTGTTTTTGTTTTTCCTTTCTAGGCACTTGCATGAACTCTAAAGTACAGAACAATATCTCAAACAAAGGCAAAAAATGAGGACTGCTATTCACATTCTGCTTATCCACATTTAATTATTCTGCAATTTTGGATGAAGAATATTGGTAAAATATGGTGAATTTTGGAAGAAGCATCAGGACCCAAGCCATAAAGTGTTTATATGGGATTGTGGCAGATAAATCACTTTACACTTTTGTTTGTGAGGTACAGGAGTTTCCCAGCAGCACAATGTTAATTAGTTTTCTGCAACTTTTTTTTTTTTTTTCCCATTAGAAACTGCAGTGCCCAAGCTGCAGTGTTGCTGTAAGTGAAGCCACTATGCCCGATTCAGACCTCACACAAGCAAGCAAGGGGCAGCCCCTGCTCAGGCTTGAAAGCTTCAGCAGGGTAAACCCCCATCAGGAGAACTAACAATTTCTGTAATGCTTCTTGGTGATTGATGAAAATGCTTTCAGCCTGAAGCAGGTGAATGTTTTAAAGATGTTTTTCTTAGCAGGTGTCGCGTATGACCTTGCAGCACACCTTCAGAATTCCCTTGCATTAGGATCATGGGTGGGGATGCAAAGATGGGAGCCCATTTGGGCACAGCAAAGCCTGACTCAACTGTGCCAAGCTTACTTGGTCCAGAGTTACTTACCCTGAACCATGGCATGTACCTGTGCAGATCCAGTTTTATGTTGTTGGGATATTATTGAATAAACATGACTTGATGTTAGGGTAGGGAAGACGATGCAGTCTCTTATTTTAATAACATTTCAGTACCTTTTTTTTCTTTTTTTTTTTTCTTTTTTTTTTCTTGAATGTGGAAAAGGAAATAAAGGCTTTTTCTAAAAACCCTTGAAGGTGGATCTGAAATATTTTAATGACTTCGCTGATTTTGCAGAAGGAAACCAGCGCCCTCGTTTGGTTTTGCAGGAAATAATCCTAGTAATTCACTTGCTGCTTTAACTTTGGCATCCTAGTTGATATAATGCTTTACACGTTTTATAAATACATTGCAAACAGGTCTCATCTTTCCCAGTGCCTGGACTACATTTAAGGAAGACAGTTCCTGCAGAAATCCTGCCCCCTCTGCACAAAAGGCACATTGAGAAAGGCTGAACTGGTGTAGTGAAATATCACAACGACAGAACACTTGTTAAAGACAACCTGACCAGTTTATTAAAAACTAGGCAAAAGGCACAATGAGTGGCATTCTTCAAGTATTTGCATAGATGCACAGAGAACGTTGCTGTAAACCTTTAGTATGTGGACATAGAAGAAAGTGAGATGTATTTTTGTATGCATTTTCCAAGTAACATTGCCTTTTAAAAAATACCATATTTTAGCAGCTTTTACTCCTCCTGCAGTTCCCATTATCATGCACTCATCTGGTGCACACGTGAAAATTTAGAAAGACTGAAAATCTCCAGAATGTATTTATGAGATACCAGCAGCAAAGGGTTCCATTGGGATTTCTATTAGCTTTGTGTCTGGGGATGTTTTTTTAAAAGCTTGAACCCATGCTCACATGAAATGCACTGAAAACATTCTTTTTGGTGGTTATTTAATAAAGATCACAGGCTCTTATGCAGACATAAGAGTTCCTGTGTTTGAACCAGTACTACTGTGAGCACCATTTGTACCCAGGTTACTGCAAATTAGATGTCTAGGCCCCTGCCTATGAGCAGTAAAATAACAAAATTGGAGGGTTGTTTATATGCAAAATACCCCATCTATAGAAAAAGAATATACATATATCACCATTAGAAAGGCAAAGTGTTTTGTTTGTCATTCTGTATTTCAGAGAGGAGTAATTTATGTGTTGGTTTTTTTTTTTTCCAGACATACAGAAGATAAGAAAAGGTCTAAAATGATCAAGATAATGGATAATTAACCAGTAATTCAAGACAGACCCCGTATACTTCTTCCTTGTGAAGAAAGAGGTAGTAAAGTTGCAAAAACTGGTGTGGTTTCAGTCATCCTATAGCTATACTTCTGTGTGTAGCGTAATGAGTGCTCAGGCTTTAGACGTTGTTTTTGTTTTTCCTAAATAGTAGTACTTAGGGAAACACAACCAGAACAAAAATATTTTTCTTTAAGCCAACAATACAACTTTTTTAAACATGCAGCACCAATTACACTGTTCGAGGAGCTGTCCATAAAATATCAGACATAACACAGTGTTATTGTATACAGCTCCAGAATTCCCTGTGTTCTCCCAGGAGGAAATAATAAAGGGAAATAATAATTTAAAAAAATAGCATTAAAAAAGGTATTATTTTAAAATCCTTAGGAAAAAGAAAAAAAAAAAAAAAAGTGTAAAAAAAAGCTCAAACCACCAGGAGAAAAAAATAAAAAAAAAAATCAAGCTCACAAGGGGGGGTTTTGAGGGTCAGAACTATCCATCAGCTGCTTAAAGTGCACACAGCTCTCTCCATCCAAGTCCTTAAGAAAAAAACCTGGAGTAAGCAAAGCTGTCCTACAAAAGCACCATGTGTCATTACTATTTCTGCTGTACTACCACCTGGTCAACATGAGAGCAGGTTTCTTACTGGTATGAAGAGTAGTCAGCTTGTGCTGAATTACTGCTCAGCACAGACTGAAGGGATGCACACAAAAGTGCAATCGATTTTCTGTGGTACCATGTGGTGGGGAGGAAGTTTCAGTACTGGCTGTTGCTGGCCACTACAGCTCCATGTCCTGGGGGAGAGAGTCCCTGTCGTACCTCGGCTGTGTCCCAGTGACACAGAGAAACACGGATCATGTTGGTCCTACAGCACCAAGGCAAGGAGTGCTGGAGGACTGAAAGGTTGCACAATGCTTGATGAAGAAAGTTTTATGGAGAAAATAATTCATATTTTCTATGAAAGTTAACCAAAATCCAGAGTGACTTTAACCAGAAATATTTCCATGGTTTGCTTTCTGTTGTGGCCCACCTTGCTGGCTGCTGTAAACTGTGAATGAACTGAAGAAAATTATCAGCAGCTGCCTCTTGGTCTCCCAAGAGATAGCTGTTTCTCTATAGCACCACTGATTGCTCCTGCAGCTGCCTGGATGGCTGAGGAAGCCAATAGGGCTAGTTAATCGATGAAAGGCCATCAAGGCCAACACCTGCACCCCCTGGAAATACTTAAATAACTGCTAAAAAAATACGTGAAGCCCACATTGCCCCATCCCTGCATTGAATATTGCACAATAACATATAAATATAACATAAACAAATTGTCCTTATAAAGAAAAGGCTATTAGCACAGAGAGAAGGTTTCAGCTTGGCATGTACCGGGTCACTTCTTGGGTGCACTCCTGCCAAGTCTGCTTGCAGCCTCTTGAGTCACATAGGAAACAGATAAGGCTAAGTGGAAAAAAACCTAATGGCCAATGAAAAAATTTCTGGATGATGAAGGCCATCCAGTCCTTCTTGAAGATCAGAGCCATCACATTCATGGGTGTGCACTGGAGCCTGGCTGTCCTCTTCTCAGCATTTTGCTGCTCCAGCTGTCCTAGCACCAATGTTCTGAATGAGATGGAAAAGAGGTAAGAGAGAGAGGAGTGAGCACAGATGAAAGAGAAAATCCTGCTCAGTACCTTTTCTAATGCAACAGCAGGCAAGGGGAAGGCTGTTCTCACTCACACTGCACATTCACCCTAAAGGGTCGCATAGGAAACTGCTACTTTCTGCCCATAGCATGATGATGTTCATGCAGGATTTGCACTTCGACATCTAGCTTCAAGTATGCTGCAGGTAGCACCTGTAATGTGTGGAGTGGAGGTATTTTTTGCTAGAGAGTTCTGTTTGCAGGAAGCTTAATTAAGCTGCTCAAAGACTCTTATTCGTTATCCTTATTTTGGGAAATGTTCCAGAGGGAAAACATATCGGAGAGGCTGGAGAAGGTTTCTGATCCTTTCTGGGGTCCTCAAGCCTTGTCTGGATCTCCCTGGGTTGCTGCTCTTCACTTACCTTTCTCTGTGTCACTCTCTCTGCCCCACTCACAAGAAAGCTTAACCTGAGGAAGTGCCCAGGGAACTGGAGAAGTGAATCAGTTATTCCAGAACATGGCATGGCTGTTTACAGCACCTGCACTGAACAGTTCTTACAGCCTGATTCCATTGAGGGTTAGTCAGTTTTGCTGCAGAATTAGGACCAGGTGTATTGTTTGACCAGTAAATGCTTAACAGGGAACAGAGAAAACAGAGGCCTATGCAGCAAAGCCCACCAACCCAGCAGCCCTTCCACTGCCATCCACCACAGCTGCACAAGATTACTCCCCAAACAGCTCTGCTGCTCCCCATCGGTGCCCACCTCTGCCACAGGCTGGAGTTGTCCTGGGATCCTGGGCCGAGCAGGAGGCAGTGGGATGGCAGGGCTGTCCCCAGGCCGTGCTCTGCACCTGCTTGGGACTGGGTTGGCTGGCAAGGCTCTTTGGGGCGGCCGGGGCCTTGAAATGTCCTGCACAAGAAAAAGACAGTTTTGAGTTGTCGGACTGGAGAGATATCCAACCTGAAAGCAGAGATAACGTTTTCACATTCATTTCACATGGCCTGGGCCTCTGAATGTGGCCGCAAGTATTTCTGACCTGTTATTAATTTTTGGGAAGTCAGAGACTATGTACACAGGCTATGTACACAGCTGCCCACCGTGAGGCTTCTGCTTTGGGCCTCACCCCAGAAACAGCACAATCTAATGGCTGCACAATGCAAAGCAGGAAGGACCTAACAGATTGCATGGGAGGCACTGTCATACAGTGACTGTAAACTGTATGTGCATGCACATGTGTGCCCATACACAAACATGCAGCCCACCTCCACCTGCAGTGTTATTGTTTTGTTTGTGCACGCAGCTGTCCCTAATAGGATACTCTAAGCATTATATTTTCCATTTGTCTAATGAATTTCAGCATAAAATATACCCCGGGGAGAAGTTACCCACATAAAGCTGTCTGCCTGTTGTTGCTTAGTTTCTATGCTAAGTCTCTGGCTTACAGGTGTTGATTTAATAAACACAGCTGTGCTCACAACTTGGAGGGCACCCAAAAACTTTGCTCTCTCCTCAGACAATGTATAAACATGATGCTGAGTGGCTGTATCAGCCAATGCTTGGGGATCCACTGCTCTCCAAGGACTGCAGGAGGGATGAGGCAGGCAAAAACCCCACAGAGCACCAGATCCAAAGAGCTCTTATAGGAAAGGTAAGTGAGCAAGTCTGGTAGATACTGTAAATGTCTAGGAAGGACACTGACACTAGCTAACAGTGAAATTAATGACTTCCTCTCTATCTTCTGGATCTCGTGGCTCTTTTCCAATCCAAAAATGAGAAGGTTGCCTTTCAAAACCCTAGGACAAGTGTCCCATCGCGTAGATCTGATATCAAGAGACTGGATGCTTTGGAGAAGGAACACAATGGAGACAGTGAGGAACTTGTCAACAAGCAGCTGGGAAGGATATCTATTCCTTATTGATTAGAGTCAGCTTCCTGCTTTTGTTTTAGTTTTCTTTCCTCTTGAAGTGCTGGCTGCTCATAGGAACAATGGAGCTAGAAACAAATCTCATTCACTAAAATAATTTTGGCTTCATTTTCTTCTATATCCTTTAGAGAGGCTGCCATGGAGCCAGTCTCCTGCTTTCCCTGTAGCTGAGGCCCCTCTCTGCAATCCCTAACCTAGTAAAGCTAGGAAGGAAATGTTTTGGTAAGATGGGTTTAAGTCAGTCTGAGTGATGTGCAGTTTTTCCACAGTAATGTGGAATCTTTATTATAATTTTAGAATAAAACTTATAGCAAGAAAAGTAAACCAATACCCTCTTGCCTTAAACACCTCAATGTAACCTTGTGGCTGAGATGCTCACATAAGACAGGATCAGACTGAGTTAATCCTTTTGTTTCCCATGCAACATACTAATGATCCCATTTTTGCTCCATAAAAATAAAAAACAAAAACCTAAATGTGTTCTATGTCTTTTGTGTGAAACAAAATTTATTTGTTGCTGATACTGACCACCACCCCCTCCTCCTCCAAAAAAAAAAAAAAAAAAAAAAAAAAAAAAAAAAAAAAAGACATAAATAATTGTGAATAGTTTAAATGCCAGTTTATGCTGATTTGAAATGAAGAAACATCATTTATTTGCGCAAGGCTCTCAAGGCAGTGGCCAAACGCAATATACCCTGAGGATTATCTGAAGGAATAGAGATCCTGTACTTGGTACTGAGCCTCAGAGTTATCACTGTTTGGTCATCTCCACAGGGCTTCTTTCCAGGCAATAAAAGCATGCAAATGGTAAACAGAAATATGCTATGCTATGCTATCCTAATGAAAAACCTGCACGGCTCCTTGCTTCCTGACCTTGGTAAGGCACATACTACTTTATGATCCAGACGACCTGACTCCAGGTGTTGGTCAGAAAGAGAAATGAACAACAAGCAATTGTGCATGCTAAGCATCCAGCGCAATCATTTCTGGCTCCATGACAAAGCTAGAAGAACCACTGATAACCACATCCCACCAACACCATCTGGTTAAAAACGCTTCACTCAGACCAAGCCTCCCACCAAACCACACCTGCAGAACAGCAACACAGCTTCATACCTGAGAGGGGGGGGATCTGGGAGCTGGAGGTGCTGGCCTGCTTGGGGGTGTCCGCCGGGGCACATCCTTTGCCAGTGCTGGATGCACCGGTCCTGCGGGACTTCCCGTACCATAGCTGTAGCTGGTGAAGGCAGACTGCTGCTGCATGTTAATTTGGAGGCAAGGAGCTGGTTGGGGAGGAGGTTTTGAGGGGATTTCAGGGAAGCCAATCACCTGTGCAGAAGACCCACAAATTCCAGAAATTAGGTTATGCCTGCTTCAAAACAACCTCTTCACTCTCTGCTATAATTTTGAGAGTCTGCACAAGACCTTTGAGCCACATAGCAGGAAATACTGACTGCAACAGCTGTATGTTATATATGTCCAATAGGTGCTGATTACATGTACTTGGACAACTCTGAATTGTGAAGCAGAAAGAGGAATCAAGAGAATAGAGTAACAGAGGTACTAGCAATATAAATGTTTGCAAATCACTCCACAGCTTGCAATTTCTGCAAGTTTTGAAAGAGGGGATGTGACAAGAGAAGATCCACCAGGACAGACATGCAGCCACCTCTCTCCCTGCAGGAGATGTTTGGAAATACATGCTACACTCAGCTCCCACTGACTTTCAGCTGTGGTGCACATCTGTCTGATTTCCTCATCCTTTGGAAAAACCACCCTTCAAATGCAGTGTGAGAGGGAACCACATCCCACTCTGCAAGTCAGCTGCAGCTCTCCTGGGGAGCTGGAAGTGACATTGCCCCTACCTTCCTCTGCTGTTGGGGGGTTCTCAATTTGAAGGCAGGGTTTGCATGGCCATTTCCAGAGGCATCACTAAAAATGAGACAAAACAAAAAAAGTTATTTACTGGATGTGTTTTCTCCTTTCTTCTTGTATTTTCCTATATTTCCAAGAATGAGAAGTAAATACTGACTACAGCAAAGTGACAGTTATATTCTTTGCAACCACAGTGATTTCTGCTCTGTGGGTGGGTAAAAGCAGACAAAGCACAGCACTGGCTATTTACCTGATCTGTGGAGCCTTCTTTAGAGAACAGATGACAAATTTATTCCAGCACTTCAGATAATAGAACAAAAGCATGATTCCAATGAGAAGAAGAATGGAAGCTAGGATGGCCAGAGCTATCACTACTGCTGAAGAGCCTGAAAGGCAAGAACATACAGTAAATTAAATGGGAAATCCTCTGTTCCCAGTCTATCCCAAGTCTTTCTGAATTGCCACCACAGTGTTAGTCCCACTCACCTTCTGGTGATGGAGGGCCACTGTCCAAGCTTCCTCCGTCCCCACGCTTGTTGCAAAATGGGGGAGCCCATCCCGGGTTGCAGTGACAGTTCTTGTTGTTGTTGCAGACCTGGAGCAGGAATACTCAGAGACTCAGTGCAATGTTTAAATTGATTCTGTGCAACAACTACTATTTGCTTCCTATAACCTTAAGGACCATATAAGAGGGAGCACACAGGGAGTGACGGTGGGGTGAGTCCTGCTCTTTGTCAGGTACATCCTTGGACCTCCTGAGCTACTCAAGGAACACAATGCTGCAAGTTTACCACTTCCTTGCCTAAATGGACCAATGGAGAGGTGATGATGTTTTGTGCTAGAAACACTAGCAAAAGCTCTAAAATTTTTCTCATCAGCTTTTTCTTTCCATTCTGTGGGGAACAGCAGAGCAAAGTTTGGAATAAACTGTTCCAAATAAGACTTTTTACTATGCTTTTCCCTAAGCCTGATTATTTTTTTCCTAATTTATTTTAAATTAAATCTAAACTGGACCGTGAAGATTAGACCAGAAAATGCAATCACAAAATGTAGGTGCAAACTAATAATTAAGGAGCAGAAGGCCAGACCTAGGGATGGTATCAGAACTGAGCCAAACAACCATCCACAGATGAATGGCAGGCCATCCTGCTTCAGGCTGGAACAGAGACAAAAACGAGGCACCTACCCCATTGCCATTGCACTTCTCACTACAGCTTTCAGACTCAAAGATGATGGATGTGTTTTGACAGCGTCCCTCAAAGCAAACCTGCAGAGGAAGAATCCCAAAACTCAATATAAGCTCATCAAGCTACACAGCAAATGACTGCCTAAGCAAACTTTCAACCTCTACCCTATAACCCAGCTAACACATATCAGAGAGGTATAGGAGCTCAGAAGCCAGTAACTTGCGACACAGATGTGGCCAAACCTGTGAAGCTGTTGAATGTCTTGATTTCTAATTGTGTGTCTCACTTCTAAAACAATCTCAGCCAGCTAGCAACCCCTGGATTTTGCTTTGGCCTCACGCTTCATCTAGGAAACCCTTAAGGTTTGATCTTTGGTGTATATCTTCCACTACTCAGAAACTCCTAAGAAATTAATTTCTGACAAACATAAAAATCCCCTGGAAAGACATTAGACAACAAAAAAATCAGCACCTTAATAATCACAAAGCAATTTCCACATGGGAAAGTGATACCGTGAAATGCCACAAACGATTGCAAGCAGGAACTGTACCTACATGATGGCTGCCACATTTTGTTCCTGTCAGCACCAAGGCAGGGTCCAGCATCTCCTTTTCTTCATTCTCAGATCTGTACACGTGAGTCCCTCGGCATCTCACCTTCGTCCTCTGCAGGGAGATAGTTGTGTCTATGGGCACGGCATTGGGCAGCACAGGTTTGGAAGCAGAGCTCTGGCACTGGATCTTCCCACATTTAGCATCTCTGATTTCAAAGGAAAGGCTAAGTGATTATTTCTGGTTAGATGAATGTTTTGCAGGCTTCAGCTTTGCATGTGAATTAAAGTGTGAGGCATTGCTCAATGGCAAAAGAGCAAGCACCTTCCAAAAGCCTGCTCAAGCACTATTGTTTGATGGGTGCTGATGGTATCTACCCACTGTCTCTGGAGGTAGGCCAGCTTCAGCAAAATCACAGAGCATGTTAGAAAGCTACATTTCAGCTTAAAGAATTGAAATTCCTACTTTCCTGTATCTCGAAAAAGTATCTATTTTAAAATGCAAAAGGTAGGGAAAAATGCTCAAGTTAATGCTTCCAGTCCGTCCTAGTAGGAAACAGCTGGTTTCCCAGGTGTGAGTGAGGGATGGAAACCAAAGCAGGCTCATTTTAGCCTACTGGCCCATAATTCTGTAACATATAAAAACATCTTCTCCAGACAGCAACTCCCAGCTGCCATGCTTTCTACCTTTTCTCACACTTCCTGTAGTTGCCGTAGACGTCCTTCCCACAGTTCCCGTAGACATCTCCAGCAGCATTGACTTTCTCAAAGCAGGTGTCTGGTGCTGGCCATGCTCCTGCATGAGAGAGACTCACGTAGCTGATTCCTGTGGGACCTGGCAGCCACCTCACCCTGTGCCAACCACTCCCTTGTCATTTATCTGACATGGTTTGAGCATGGGAAATTTGTGTTCCCTCCTCCAAGTGAGTAAGGCAGGAGAAAAACCTCCTCAGGTTTTGTCACTGAGAATATAGATGCAAGATACTACTGCCATACACAGAGTGCATAACAGCAGGATATTGTATAATATTGTATGATCCAAAAACAATACAATACACTGCAAGTCGTGTCCTTACCTGGCCCCCACAGCTGCAAGCACTGGTCTTTGTATGTGAGACACATGCCATTATAGCAATATGCCTTTCCTCCTTCACAGGAAGTCCCATCAATTTGGTAGGAGTTGGAGGGGCAGAACGGTGACTGCCCAGTGCAGTACTCTGGGAGGTCACATAGTCCTGACTTTTCCCTGCAGAGAGTTCCTGGAGACATCAGCTAAAATAATACAAAGGGGGAAAAAATGGAATTGTGGCTTGGCTTATTGATGATTTCATATCTGCACAATGTCTCTTTGTAGATTAAAAAAAAAAAATCCCACTGTATTCATCCCTTCTCCACCTTATGTTAGGTTTTTTGAGGTCTGCAGTGATCCAAATAACTCTAACTTCATTAACTGAGTGAGCTGTGTACAATTAAATTAGTGACCATATCCCTTTCCCAGGTGAGGATGAGAGCATGCAGAAAAAATTAGGTTGTCAGATCTCAAAAGGACATTGATCCACCTCTCTCTACACAGGGGTAGAATCTGATCCACCTAAACCATTTCTGACATGTTTATGTAATCTATTCTAAAAATCCTCCCTGTTTGGGAAGTGTGTTTCAGTGTCTGTCATCACTGCTGGAGACATTTTCCTAACATGCAACTTCTGTCTCCAGCTGCTATGAGTTTACCATGCACACAGATGGAAAGACATACACAATTACGTCTAGGAGGTTTATTTAAGTCTCTTGTGAAAGAAGTGAGAGTCCAAATGGATTCCTGGAAATTTTTTTTTCACCTGCTTAGGATAGGTCACTAAAAGCATGCAATACATATGCAAACATTAAATAAACTAAAGAGAAATATTTGCCTATGTTCATTCTAGAGAATCTGAGGTCAAACCTTAAGGTCTTTGCCTCCTAAATCAAAACCTGTTTTTCACAAGCTCCAGCGATACAAAAGCACTGTGTGATCCCTAATGTCTGCCCTGTCCTGCAGGGCATTTACAGCCTTGGGACCACAGACCAGATCTACACACACTGCTGTGCAAATGCCTGCAAAGATTTTAGGAAAATTCAACAAGCCCACCTTGCACTCATGACAGCAGCTGCCGTGGGCACATTGAGCACCCAGCTTCAGGGAGCAGTTGTTGGCGTTGCAACAGGGATTATTGCATTCCTGGAAAAAAGCAGGATGCAGAATGGTTTGTTCACAAGGCAAATTCAGGACAAGAATTCATCAGAGCATCAAAGCCTGATGGTGACACTAATCTGTTCTCACACAAGATAAATAATATTCAGAGGATCAGCCTTTCTTCCACAGTATATTCTTGAAACTCAACATTTGCTGGATTATACTACTGCATATTAATGTTCTCTGCTGGATGGATTGGTACTATAGGCTGAGATCGTTACCTCTGCTGAATCTGGGCTGCAGCTCCCCTTTGACTTACTAGTCAAAGTATGGATATGAAGAAGCAAACTGCAATTCTATGAGAAGAGAAAAGCCCATCTTTACAGAGAATGAAGCTGTAGGTGAAGTGCACTTTGCCTACACGCATGAAAATGTGATCTGCAAGATCACTTTTTTTTTTAATGAACTTTCCATCACCTCTGTTTTAGCACAGATTGTACCACCCCTGAGTTCTGGGATACATTATGCTGTACAATATAAATTTAGATACAGTACTTTACTGTCTTGATTTACATTGCATATACATTTACATACAGGGCAGAAAAGCTTATCTCCTGCACAAACAAAAGCTGTTTACATAACACATAATTGCATTTGCAAAGTATATAATAAAATCATTGTGTCTCAACTAAAATCCAAACAGGTCAATGAGAACAACTGTTACCTCCACCTCTCCACAGTCACACTCTTCCCCTTCTTCCAAGTAGCCATTTCCACATTTCCTCCCTCCATACATTCTCTTGGTATCTGGCATATTGGAAAGGCACATCCCTCCACCTGAGTGCAGATACTTCTCCAGCTCTCTCCTGTTGCACTGGTTGAACACTCTGGGGAATGGGTGCCTGAATATGAACACAGTGCAGAAAAACATCACAACAGATCCAGACAATGGTTCAGAGCACCAAAAGTGATCACATACCAGTCCTAACAGTGCCAGAGAACACCACTCCTTTTAAATCTATGAAACTGTATAAAAGTGGATGGTGGTTTTGTGTGCCTGTTCAAATTGAGATCCAGTGGGGTTTCATTTGGAAATGAGGTGAGATCGCACTGCAAAACAGTCTAGTAAAGGAATGGCCTTTAAAAACCAACTTTCCTGGGGGGGGGGGGGGAAAAAAAATCATGTTGAGTTAGACTTCACCTTGTCCTTGCTGACAAGGACAGCAGTCCTCACCTGCTCAGCACTGAAGTCATGGCTCACACCTCTGCTCTAAAGTTTGAGAATCAGCACTTGGACCATGAATAACCACTTGTGAAATTAGCTGCTGAAAATAATGTTTCCTTTTTTGTTTCTGCTGCTCATTGCAAAGGACTTGAACATGTTCTCTTGCATGGATTATGAACTTTCTTTGCAACTATGCTTGAATCTATGCATTCTATTCATGACCATGCATGTATGCATATGTGCTGCACTGAATAGCTCCTGTATGCCAGTGTGCTTTCAATGTTCATCTGAACATTTTTCCATATTTGGAGGAAATAGCTCACATTAAAAAAAGGCATTTAATTGAGACAATTTTGTTTAAAACTGCTGAAGAGGAAGACTTGGGGAAATAAGGAACATGGCTTTAAGTGAATGGCTTTGGCTAGCATTTTTACGTGACTGAAATACAGAAGCTGTTGTGGTTCCTCATCCAGAATGAGCTCTGGAATTCCTGTGGGTTTCCAAAATGACCCACTTCCCTTTTCTCCAAAGAAGATCTATTCCTTCCCTTTCAATGGCTTTCCATGGCTCACTGAAACCAAGCTGTATGCTGATGACAACAAGCAATGGATCTGTTTTCATGTCTCCTGAGTTTGAAGTATAACTCCGTCACTGTGCCTTTTAATAATATCAGTTATCTCCTGAAGGAGTCGTATTTCTTTTCTTCATTGTGTTATAAAAGACAAAATTATCTTTTCTGGGAGATGCTTTAAAAAAACCTATCAACTATCTTTGTATTTTCTGTGCAGCACATAAATGAAACACCATGGTGACACACCCCAACACGTTCTGGTCACCCCTCATTTCTCTGTGCTTGCTGGCAATAGCCAGCTCAGGTTGTAGAGAAGGATATGTGTGTGTAAGTGTATTGAATGTGCTTTGGGGTGATAGATCATTTGGTAGGACACGGTGGGAAGCACAAACTCAGAGATAAGGGATTAGAGAGGCCCTGAGACCATCTCTTAGGACAGAAGATAGGAAAATTTGCCTCTATAACAGCTTAGAGCTCCACATGCTGCTTCAATACTTAAGCCCAACCTCATACAGGAATAAATTCAATGGTAATTTTGCAAATTACAACTGACACATGAACTAGTGTTTGCTCAGCAGTTATTATCCCTATAAACACACTGGCTATAGCACCTAGCAACAGGTCCACTTCACTCTGAATTTTTAGCTCTCACCAAACTCTCTGCATCTCCCAGCAAGGCCATGGGACTCACCCAGTGGCAGAAGCCATGATGCAGCCTCCTTCCTCTGCACGGGTGGTACAACAGCCAGATGAGTCATGATTCATGCCAAAATTGTGGCCCATCTCATGGGCGATAGTAGCAGCAACACCAATGGCATTATCAGAGTGGTCCTGTGCAAGATCAAAGAGGCAGGTCAGCATGTCACTTGTGCCTGTTCCTTGTACCTCTGGATCAATGGGGTGAGAGGCACTTCTCACTGTTACGTATGGAAGACATCTACTGAAGGTATTGCTGCCTATTTCTTCCTGGACTTTAGGAGGCATCTATTGTTTGTATTTACTGCTGACAAGAAACATCACATCAGGCATTAACAGTAACTTACCATGTTTACTCCTCCTGACTGGAAATCTGAGCACATGGACATCACAGGAGCCAAACCTACTGTGGTACCTTGGAAGGGCACACCCCTAAAATCAACCCAGAAAGACCACAAAATGGCACCGAGGCACTTGAAGGCAAGGCAGAGAAAAAAAGCATCCTGCAGCCCCAAGCTTTGTACAATGTACATGTCAGTTGAATATATTTTCTTTAGTACCACCTTCAAGCACAGAACATTACAATAGAGCTATAAAGCTTTAGGAGCTAACTTTCATGGACTGATACTTTGTTTTATGGACCAATTAGCCAATCTTTTTTTTTCGTATAATTGTTTAGTGGAAGAAAATTTCCTCGATTGAGCCTTGCAGTAGGTACAGAAAATAATATTTCTGGATTCTTAGTTTGGTACTAGTTGGGAATATCTAATTTACCTTAAGCCTACTGCTTGATTCAGCATTATTTTCTGAAGGATAAATTAGCATGGGAGAGGCAGGGAGGTCTGAGAGTTGCTGCAGACTTTTCTTCTGATGGCATTTGCATTGCTGGCCATAGCTACTGCTAGCTGTAATGAGATCAGCAGGGAGAGGCAAGATCCCCAGCCAGCTCCTACCACTGTGTTCCCTGTATCTCAGCAGGGTGAAGTAGGGATGGACAGCTTCTACAAAGTGCTTACAGATCTTGTTTATGGTTCAGATTTTCTTGAAATTGCTCCGCATGCCAAAGCTTAATGTTAGTTGAGCATTAAATTTTCCATTCTGAATCTTAGAAAAAAAAATAATAACCTCAAATATTGCTTCCCCACCCACTCAACACACTTTCAGAAACAGCTTATTTCAGGTGAAATAAACCTACGTGATTAGTTGGGCATTATCATGCTTTCTGTACACCCGCTCCTTGCTGCTCCAGGCCAGGAAGGACTTCAGGGTGGAGTAAGGATTCTCAGTGCAATCACATTTGTTCCCATTACTCCAGATCTCCAGCCCCACCAAGGCAATCCGGATATTCAGGGACCTGTAAAACTGATAGGTATAGGAGGGAAAAGAAAAAACAAAATGAGCACTACTGATTTATTTTATTGCATTTTAGACCTTGTGTGTAAGCACTGATAAATGCTACTAGCGAAACACGCATCCAGAGATGATGTCCTCTCTGGAAATGCATCACAATTTGCAAAGAGAAAAGTGCACCACCCACTAAACTAAACTGGATTGGACTAGAGATGCATTTTTTAATGAATGAAAGAGATATAATCTAGAAAAACACAAAGACTGGAGACCGACATCGTGTTAATCTTGAGATATGTCAAAATCCCTGAAAAAAGGAAGGAAGTAATCTGCTGCCCACGTCAAGTACAAATAGGACAAGTCTTCCTGGGCAGGGTAGGAAGGGGGAGGAGGAAGGAGTTGAAGGGAGCAGATCTGAAAAGCTGTGATGTTTACTTCAACAGCACTGGGAACCACTGCAAAGATGAGCTCTGAAGGCTCCTTCCTGCTCTGTTTGTGAGGCTTCTACAAGAGAAAAGAGCTGAAGAGAAAGAAGGGACCTTAGCTCCTTGTCAACCTCTGTATTTAGATAACATAGTTAATACAGAGATGCATTAAAATACAGAGATGCTCACGCTGATTCCAAGGTGAGGAATGGAGATCTCACCCACCCCTGATGTCCAGCAAGAGAATTACTTGAAAAATGATCTCTCCCTGAGCCACTGGGGAGTGCTGCCAAAGCATTATTCTCTCTCCCAAGAAGACAATATTCCCCCTCACGATTAATTCTCATAATGCACAATATGGGCTTTGATTTCCCCAAGTTCATGCTCACCAGATCTCACCTTATCCACGTAATTAGCAGCCTCCACTAATTTAAGCCTTGTTGCTTCAATGTTGAAATGATGTTTCTGAACCTGAACAAAACAAACATGTCCGTGTCAGGTGGCACAACGACAACTAGAAAGAGCTGAAATGTGTTTAAGCATGTGGGAATAAGAGGGTAACTACCAACTGATGCTCAAAAGCCTTTCTTCGCTGTACATTTGACTGTAAGCCCACCTGTAGATGTATCTTCAGAATTCACCCCTGGCATCCCACTGCAGGGGTAGTTTTCCAGGGGTGGTAGGAACTTAGTGGAGCAATCCAAATGCAAGTAACAGGAAATTTGTCAGGTACAATACGTGGTAACAGCCAAAAAGAACAAATTTGCCTATTAAACTACCTGATAATGAGTTAATTTTGCAAACAGCGTTTTGATTCAAGGATTTGCAAAATATTTAGGTTTCTATTAAACAGACTGCAAAAGCTGGGATTTTTCTCCTAGCAAGGGAAGCAGTGAAGTTTAGCTACACTGTGAGGGTGTTTACTGCAGCTCACATAACAAAATGGTGAACAACATATGGCAGTTCCTGGGTGTAACATGTTCTCTCAGTCTCCCTGTCATCCTGCTGCCTAAAAGAGGAGATCAAAACAGATTTTGTCTCCACTTTTGTTCAGAATAAATTATAGCACAGAGCACTATATGGCTTTCACTGCTGGAGCTTCAAGCTGTAAATTATGAATAGGATCAGCCTGAGTCCAGTCTGTGCTGGAGATTAAATGACCGATGTTCCTTTGTGAGGTTTTACTGTCAGTAAGTACATCTGGCATGCAATCCACTCAGGAGACAGGGAGGGACTGCTGAATTCACTGGGCCTCTTCCAGCCCGATTTGATCATCCGGAGCCCTGAAAATGTCGTTATTATTTTTTTATATACATGCCAAGATCTCAAAGCAGATGATAATCTTAGTTATCTTCCCTAGAGATTAAATATAGATGCACATCTCTCCTGGAAACACCCAGGTGACCCAAGGCTGAAGGCCATCCCTCCTATCTTCAATGAAGGATTGTGAAGGAGTTCCCAAATGTCCACAGAGATGTGGGATCTTTCTACTCTGGATCACTGGTACCCTGGGAGACAAGAATTGTCCCAAACCTACTCCTTCATCCCTGTCATAGCCTGTATCTCTGCTGGTCAAGGCGGGCCAATGGAGGCAGCAGGGGACAGAAGCGATGGGCACAGGACCCCCTTCCTTACCTCTGCATAGTCAGCCACAAGCAGCAGCTCCACATACTTCATAGTCTGCAGAGCTTCCCGCCTCACCTGCAGCAGCAATACAAGTTATTTCCCCAACATTCCCCAAGAAACTCTTAGAAAACATACTTACAGGCTGTTTTTCACCAGCCATTCACCCCACCCCATCACACAGGGTCCTCAAGGTGTGACTGAGTTACAGCAGTGAGCTGGGAGACGCTCGAAGCCCTCCTCACCCTGTGGTTGGGGAATTTCACCCCAGCTGCAAAGTCCCCAAGCCAATTCCTGGCTGTGGCCATGGAGTCCTGGTGGCCACAGGCTCCTGCTGGCATCCTCAGATCATCCAGCCTGTAGATCTGGTGCAGGTCTGGGTTGTCAGGAAGCGGCTCCAGGACATAGCTGCAATTGCTTCTCAGTACAATGAGGCCTCTGGTGGAATGGAAGCAATGAGAAGGAAATCCAGTTACTACTGCAGCAAATAGAGCCAAATCCTGCTGCTGCATTCCTGGCTGGTCCTAGTGAGGCATTTCTCCATGCCAGGCTGGTCACTTATTCAGAAGGATGGGAACATTTTGAGTTCAGAAGGTAGTGATCCATTGGTTTCCATATAATCTGTTCAAATGGGCTCTCACAATCAGTTAAAGGGTTATTGGTGCACGTGCTGCAACAAGGCCTGATTTTTGTATTATTATTACTTTTTATTTTTTTCAAGTATAGCTTTTCCTTCAGTGGATCAAAAAAAATCGTCTGCAACAAAACTAGCCTGAAAACATGAAAAGCTTTTTTGTCAATAGAAGAAACAGCATTTTTGTCTCCTTCATTTTGCAGATTTTCCTCTTGTTTCCCTTTCATTTCCCTCTCTGTTTTATTGTATAAGAAAAAAAGCACTGATGTGGACAAGTAATGGATGCCACAACAAAACAGATATTCTCCCATTTTATTTCATCTAACAATTAATAATGTTTTTTTTTTCCCTTACAGCAAATGCCATTTTTGGGCACCACAAGTCTCTGTCCCCCAAACAGCCCATGTCTTCACACAGTCCTATCCTCTCCAGCTGTCTGCCCATCCCATACCACCACCCCACACAGCACCCCTTTGCAAAGAAACCCTGCTTCACCCTCAAAGGAGAGAGTGCCTGACCAAAAGTGTTACAAAAGGAGTAATAAATAATACATGCGATCTTGCAAAGTGCTTTCCTTGTGAGCCAGGATCATATTCAAAGTGCTTTCCCAGGGGCACAGCTCATATGCCTGTTTTTTTTCCATCTCATGGCTACAGGAGTGAGCGCAGCCACGTGGCTTCAAGGAAAGCAGGAAGCTGTTGTTATCCTTTGTCCCATTTTTCCACCAGTTGCTCCCAAAAAGCCTAAGCCACAAATCAACTCAGAGCCCCTCTGAAATCGCAGTAATATGCAGTCAGCATAATAACACCTCGTGCTGGGATGCTGTCACATCTCCTGCACAGGGACAGATTCTGTGCTGGATCTGGGGGGGCTTCAGAGCACCTAACACCCCCAGATAGTGGCCTGATGGGTGCAGAAAACTGTACATGCATCGGAAAGCTGTGTTCCTTGATCTTGGAGGGGGGAGCTGGGAAACATGCAGGCTGGCAGAAGAACACACCTGTGTCTGATTTTCAATTATTTATTGCAGACCACAGGTGGCTGCACTGCCTTGTTTATCTCCATGGGCTCTCTGGCCTGCTGTAAATCCACTTAAGATTTCTGGGATTTGCTTTGGCAAGGGCTGTTTCCTGGCTGGGCCAAGTCCCACAGCTCTCAAGGGCAGATGACCGCTAATATCAATAAAGTGCACGTGGTATTTAGGAAACAGACCCCAAGCTGGTGTAAATGAACACATACAGACTGCCTTTTTCTGCCAGAGACTCCATTACTACCACAGCCAAGGTTTTAGAGGCATAACTCACAACCCTGCACCACCCAGGGAGAAAGCAGGGAGCAAGGAGAGGAAATGGGGCTGATGGGAGGAAACTCAGATCTGAAGGCTGCCCCCAGAACATGAAAACCATCCAGCTGCCAGAGGCTGGGAGAAGGAACTGGTTTCTGCAGCATGGCAAGCCCTGTCCCTGCCTCCATAAGGGACACAGTCCTAGGTCACTTAATGGAAGAGGTATCCCATGTTGGAGTTATTTGATGTATGGATTAATGTTGCCAGTGCAGAGGGGGAAGCAATCTAGGAGCTGTATAGGAAGCTGTGGTCATCAGTGTTACCCAGATTTCAGCTTTTCCTCTGACACCCAGGACTTCTGGTGGGGTAGAATTTAAGAACAGGCCCATCTGACCAGAAAGACCCTTGGAGCAGATCTGCCCCAGCACTTACCGCAGCCCTTGGCATGAACTGAGCGTCACGCTGGAGTGCTTTCTGCCCCGCACCACTCCCTGGTAAAAGCAGTGCTCCTGCAAGGCAGAGGGGCAAAGGTTGGCAATCCAATTCATGGTTGACATGCATTACATTTAGACATCATAAGTCCCAGCTGAGTACAGCCAATACTCCTGTAATTGCTTTCTTTCTGCTGCACGTGGCATTTATCTCAATTAAATCCCCAAGGATGCACCTCGAATAGCTGCAGCAGGAAGCCTGACCCGGAGCTGCTGGTAAGTGGAGCTGCCTGCTGGTGGCAGCTGGCCCTGGGTCGAGCCCTCAAAGATGTGTGACAGCATGGACAGCAGCAAGTCCTCATCCGCAGAACAAAGGCAGTCTCTAGTAAGGACCAAGAGGAGTTGGGGCATGAATGCCAATGTATCTACCATGGCCCTCCCCCTTGCCCTGGGGCAGCAGCAATAAAAATGATCTCATGGGGATTTTGTCTTCTATTTTTTATGTTGTAACCAATGCACATCTTTGTGCCACTGCGTGCTCACTGCTGGTAAATCAGCCAAAGGCAGCGTGAGAGCAGTAATTCATAGGGTTATTACTCAAGCAGAGCCAACTTACTCGGGCTGGGTTCTTCCCAGCATGAAGCACCTAGTGGGAGAATTAAAAGCAAGGGGATGAGCAGCAGGAGAAATTAATTAATCCCCAGCATCCAGAGAGGAAAATAATCCTGGGGGCTGACCTTGGCTCTCTCACACCAGAGTACAGGCAATACACTAAGCTGTTTTTACCAATTTTTGATGATGGTGATGCTTTCTTGCTGCAACACCCCAGGTCAGAAAGCCAGACCACCCTCCCCTTCAGCTGCAGGTGTCAGCACTCACAGTGTGGGCCAGAGGAATGGTCCGTGCTTGTCCTGTCTGGCTGTAGTGAGTCTCAGTGTAGCCTGGTGCAAACAGGTCTCTGCAGTTACATGAGGAAAAGAAGGAAAAAAAAAAGTCCCTGAATGATACAAGGCACTGTGTGGTTTCCTTTGTGCTGCTAAGTTATGCCCATGTGTAATGGAATTAGGTTGAGCACACTGAAGCCAGCTCAGGACACATCTGGGCATTGGTGTGTGTCAGACTCTGACTCTCCAGTGCCCAAATCTGAACACAATTATAAACCAATCTGCTTCTGTGTTGCAACTTCTGCCCAGAGGCCAGTTCACATCTTTGTCCTAGGAAACTGCTGATTCCCCCATTTAAATTTGATCATGTCATCCTTGTACAGACAATATTGTCCCTGTCTTCAGCCCAAGATCAAGCCAAAAGCCTATAAAAGGCGCTCCTATGCACTGAATAGTAAGTATTTTGACCTGATTCCAGAGGAAACAGCCTTCCCTCTTTTTTTAAACATCTGCATTTTCTAAACAGTGATGTAAAAAAGTACAGTAAGTCAAAATCTGGGCCAAAGCAAGAAGGTCACATCCTGTGTCTATCTCAGCAGCAGTATAACACAGCTTTAAAAGCTTTTCCTTTCCTTTAAACAATAGCCTCATTTCCAAAAAACTGGAGAAGAACCCTACAGCGTGCCCCATCTATGCAGCACACTTGCTCAGCAGCCTCGTGTCAAACAGATCCGTGTGCCATCATGTGCCATCATTTTACTCGACAGCATTTAGTGTCAAGAATTCAACAGCTTTTACCTCCACTTCCAAAGGCCACTGTAGCCCAGGAAGGCTCATTTGGTTTCTTTCTGATGTGCTAATTCCCATCACTAGATCTTGTCAGTGATCCAGAAGGCTGAATTACTGCTTTCCAGCTATCTCAATCTGTAAACTAAAGATAAGCCCTGAAGTGCCATCCCACAAGAAAGAACTCCCTTCATCTCCCTGACTGCAGTAGCTTGCTCAGCATGAGGCTGCAAGAAACAAATGTTTAACCAACAGATTGCATTAACTGGCAGGAAATTGCCTTGAGCAATGAGTTCTGGCAGGTATCTGGTCTGTGTAAGAGATTGTCATCTTCAGAGCAGACGTGAAACCAATGTGAATCTGCTTTGTGCTGCTACAGCCAGAATCTACAGCCTGTAGATTTCTTCCAGTAGCTAGGGCTTGCACAGCCTACTTGTTTAAATCCCAAACAAGCATGCCTGTGTTTGCCTCCTGCTCCTTTATTCTTGGAAAGCATGCACTATGAATAGCTAGTTTTTCTCTTTTCCAGCACCATAAAATTCCCCCATGCTTTGAATCTTGATGGCCACAACTTATCTATCCCTCTCCTTCCCACTCAGCACCAGGCTTTTTGGGCACGGAATAAAGGCATATAGCACACGCCATATGCACATCTCTTCCTACCTTCAATTTTAGAGACATGGGGGGGATACTTGCATTTTTAGAGGTATTTATTTGCTGTGCTGGGAATGTGGCCCCTCCAGCTGATTAGTGCCATCTTATGTTCTGAAGGCCTTTCCCTGCTGTAACAGGAGAGCCCTGTGGCTCCAGCACAGCAGGGCATTGCAGGGAGGAGGGAGATGAGGAAAGAGGAAAGACAACAGGACATCTTGCAATACCCTCAGGGGTCGACTAAACCTCACAGCCTGTGAAAGTCCACTCCCAGCCCAGCTCACTTCCTCAGAGAGCATCAAATTTACCACCAAAGCATAAACAAATAGAAAAGAATCCTTCACGTCTCACAGCGCACCAGTTCAGCTCATTCCTCTTCTTCATATGTACAAGTTGGGTAAACAGGGGAGATCAGTGAGATGTTGTCACCCAAAACCTTAGCAGTGGCTTTTATCTATCATGATTCTGGGACAGTCACTGCCAGGTTTCCAGGGAAGCTCAGTTCTATGAATGCTGACAGACCCAACTCACTGCTTTCATAGGAACATGGAACTTAGATCCTTGACGGAGGAGAAAAGTATAGAAAAATAAAGCATGATTAGGTATTTCTTTCCTGTTACACAGCCCACCTCTGCAACAGCTGTAGATAAAACTGATTGTCTGTAAATCTTGAATGTGAAAATAACATCATGTAAAGGCCTCAGAGATGTTCGCACAGCTGGCAGACCGCTAGCACACATCATAAAGCATGGAGTTGGTCATTAGTGGGGTTATCAGCACGAGGAATTGATGAACTCAGAGGAGAAGCAGATTTTGGAAAGCAGGCAGAGCAGAGCTGTGATAGCAACTGCAGCCACACGGACTGCTGGAGCTCTCAGGGTGCCCGAGGGCAACCATTGCACCTCCCATAGCGACGGACCTCTGGCAACATCAGTCACTGCCCCAGATCCAGCTCGGCGTGCAGCACTCCGGGTGGAAGGGCCTGTGTCTTGGAAGGATCTGCTCCACAGAACGCTCTGGGACACAGCTCCAATCCAAGCAGGGAAGCCAAACGAAGCACGAGTGGCTCGCTGCCATAGCATACAGATGGCTCGAGACTTTCTGCTGTTGACTGGCGTGGAGCAGCACTGGACCCACTCCAGGCTGTCAATGATATCATTGTTTGAAACAAACCCTGCTCTGCACACGGCCACCTACAGCTGATGTTCTTGATCAGAGCATCTCCCTTTCACCACACCAATACACAGCACCAGGGAGGCCAGGCACCTCACACATGAGGCAATGGCAGAGAGTTCGGGGAAGAACCCAACCACCTCAGCAGGCAGCACCCCAGTGCTCTCCAAAACAGTACATGGGAGAAAAAAAAAAAGAAAAAAAAAGAAAAAAGAAAAGTCCAGGAAGCTCTTGTAAGTAACACCAATTCTTCTGACATCTTTTTTCCCTGTCCATTTCCTCAAATCACCATAAATCTGTCCAGCTTGGCTGCCAGCATCTGGAGGTGGAGGGAATTGGTTCTCCCAAGAAAGCTGAGACATCAGATTTCCATCTATGATTTGTGGTCCCACTCCATTGCCTTTCAGCAGGATCCAAGTAGGGTAAGAGAGGGAATTAGATTCCTCACTTCCCAGCCCTTCAAACATTCCCTCAAGTCAGGATTTATTGTGAGAACCTGAGAGTGACCCCATCACAAACACCTCCAAAATGTCACCCCTGACAATGCAAAGAGCCGGCTGTCTGTATCCATCACTAATAAAAAATCAGGAATTTCACCTCCCTGGAATTCTTTAGCCAAAAACTGGCACTGTTAAACCACTGAACTCCAAAAGTTTTCTCTTTGTGTCAGTAAACCTCACCCAGAAAAATCATAGAGCTCTTAAGCTCCCTCCCTCAGGAGCTATGCTGATATATCTGAGATCATGTTTATTGTGCAAACAGCAGCAGCTTGGAAGGGAATAAGTAGATTCCCAGCCCTTGAAGTAGAACTAAACCACCTATTTGCAAGGTCTTGGAGAACACCACAAGCTACTAAAGCGCTTTCGATCCCCTTTTGTCATCTGCATCATCTGACACTCGCTGTGTAAATCACGTTACAGGACCTAAGCAAAATTTGCCACATAACCCCCAATGGGAACTATAAAACTTGCCTGGAGAGGAAAAAGGAAATAAAATAAATAGAAAATTAGCTGATAATGATTCAGAGAGAAAAGTTAAAGGATTCAATTTCCTCTTCCTCCATACACTGCACAGAAATCACTGAATATCCCAGGAGAATCAGAAGGCTGAAAAGCAGCGACGGCTTCCCACGTCCCACCACTCTTTTTCTGATGACTCCAAGAGACAGCAGAGCAGAATAAACTCTATTTCCCTCTCTCACATAACCCTTAACCCCCCATGCAGGAAACCTATTAGACACTGACAGTGTGTAGCCCATCGGTGGAATAATCTCATATATCCTTCCTGCTTGGGACTGGGCAGCAGCCTCCCCTCTTCCTCGCTCGGTTGGGAAGGGAGGCCCTGGAAATGAGAACAAGCAGGAAACAGTGACACACAAGTGACATACAAAGCCATTACCAGACTGCTGAGGGCATCAATCAGGGCTGGAGCAATCATCAGCTACCTGGATGGGGCCAGAAGAGCTTGGAAGTGATACTGCTCCTTATCAGATCCAGCAAATAACCACTGGATTGCTTCAGAGTCCTGATCAGATGAGCTCTGGGCTTTCTTTGCTCTGTCCTCATGCAAACTCTGCACATCTCCACCAGCCCCACACAGGCTCTGCCCCCCACAACCACGGATGCTGCAGGAGAGCAGCAGCCAACACACAGCTGTGTTCCATATTTCTATGGTATTTAGGTGAGAAAAAAATTCACGCAAGTTTCTGCTGCACAAATATCAGGTCACCCCTTGGCCAGGAAGAAAAGGTTCACACCAGGCAGCTTTACCACACACTAAAGACTCTCAGCATCCCCTCCACGCTTGACTCAAAGCTGCTTTTTATTAAAAAAATGCCTTTAAGTCACTTCTCATCCAATGTTTGCAACTCAGATTCCTTCGCTCCCAATCCCCAGCCAACTTTAAAGCTGTTTTATAGGCATCTTTCCATATATTTGTTATTTGTGCAGCTTTGAGCTTTCCAGTCCTGCAGCTGCAGGACGTGGCTTTGGGTCACTTAAGAGAAGCGTGAGTCGTTCAGGGGATATACTTTTGTTGTTCCTCAGAAACATGACATGGTTTTGTGACCTCTACTTAGAACTGCGGCGTGGTTCCTTCTTTGTAATAAGTGCCCAAACAGGAAATAATGCAACATTATGTTAACTGCTAATGCAATGATTGTATTCTTAGATATATGAAGCCCAGACCCAGACGGTGCGGTGGTCTTTCAAAACTCAGTTCTGTGCTCAGTTTTGAAGAAGTATATGCAATAATTTCTGTGTTGCACCCTGCAGATGAACACCATGTCCTTCTTGTATTGAATATGAAATCACAATCTTAGTGTAACTGTTTCTTCCACATATTGGAAACAGCAGCCTGTTTCGCTGAAAGTTACTGCGTCCCTACAAACAAACATACAAACAAAAGATTTATCTGTATGGCTTTTTCTCTCACTTTTCCAAAGCAAGCTCATTTTCATCACCTTCATCTCCCCATAAGGACTGATTAACAAGCAAGCATGCAACCTAACCTACCAGCTTTCCAGAGCTCCTCTACAGGGGAGAACTCTGGGGATCTTCTTGACTCACAAAGTCCCAAGTAACTTCCATGCACTTGTTATACTCACTGTCAAAGGAACACAAAACCAGAGCAGCCAGGTTTCAGACTGCTCCAAAGGGATGGACCCCAGTAGAGAATGGCAGCTTCTCTTGCATTGCCTGGGTGCCTGACAGACCCTTTAGGGAAGAAATCCCTGTTCTGTCTACACTCAGCATCCCAGTGTGAGCTCTGGGTGCCGGGAGCAGCTCCATGCTGGACCCCATGGACTGCAGTGAGGAGTGACATTCCTCCACTTCCCATATAAGTGCTCTATAGATGCTAATGATGACAGCATCCACGGGGCTCCCATGCACTTCATGCTCTTCTGCCTCATCGTTTCTCTTTCAGACTGAGAGTCCCTGAACTACTTCTGCACCCCCTCAAGTCTGGGAAGCGGCGGCTCTCAGAGCCTAATCTTGCTCACAGACCTTCATTTTGGGATGGTGCCATCACATCTCCTGAACAAGGACTTGAGAACTGGAAAGTCTCCCACATGAAGTGCTGCTCTCCGTGAATCATTTGTATTCTCCACAGAATATAAGAGCTCCAAACCACTTGCCCTATTTCTGCAGCCCTTGTAAAGGGATTGATCCTGCAGTGGAAGCATGTGTGCACTTCAGTCTGTGTATACACATCTCAATGAATGAAAACACATCTCAGGAAATAAACACAATGGAAGCCCTTTATTCTTATCATTGTGTTTACCAACACCAGCAACAAGTCTGCCTGCACTGGAAATAGTCCAGCCCTGCTCCCACCAGGCACCTGGCTGTTTTGTCACCAGCACAGTGACATAATTCTGGAAGGAAGCCCACTTCTTCCATGCCAGAAGGGAATTCACCTTTGCAGTTAGTGCCAAATGTTAAAACCAACAGCCTCTCACCAGGAGGAAACCCCCACAGGCTCATTGCCTCCAGGTTCAGCTCACTGCTGAAACTGTCACCTGCAACAGATATTTTCCCTGCTTTACACAGGACCAAACTGGCAGTGCTTATGCCTGCTCTTTAATCACTTCTGTTTTCCCAGCTGAGAGATGCCAAAATACAGATAACTGACGGCTTGTTCTGTATGGTTCTACACAGGTGTACAACTGAATGGGAAACATGTCCAGGTTTTGCAGCACTGAAATTCCCAGTAGCTTTTATACCAAAAGCTTCTATTACCAAAAGCACCCAGTAGGATAACATTCCTTGATCAGCTATCAGTCTATGCTGCACACAGTGCCAAGAAAAATCTGGTTTTCCTGTAGGACACCCCAAATATAATTTAGGATCACATACTGTCGTCAGACATGAAAAGATCCTCTGATATTTCAGGGGGAAAGCTGAGCCCCTAAGCTCTGTGCCTGGGATGTCCATGCAACACATTTAAAATATAGGAAGGAAGGGTTATTATTTGAAGGTAAATATTCCCTCTGCTAGTTCTAGTAGACATACACTGGGTTGTGTTTCTATAGATAACTCTTCAGATCAATTTAAAATTAACACACTAACAGTACAAGTGGACTGCTTAACAACAAGCTTATAGCAGCTAAATATCCAGCTGCTGCTGTTCCACCACTGGAAACTAATCCAGAGACATGGGGCAAAGCCTCCAGACAAGGGTCCTTCAACTTAACTTCCCCTCCTGTAGTGCCAGCTGGATTCCGTACACATCATGCCCTACACTTTCACGTGGTTGCTGGATCGTGCCCAAGAGGAGGCTGCATTTCAGTTAATGCAAAAGCATATTTTCAGTGTGCTTCAGCACAAAGGGCACTAATGGAATAAAAACTATCAGATCATTTGTCCTAGGAAAGAAAAAGCAGCATCTCTTCTTATCACAGCATTAGAGGCACAGTGAGTCATTTGGTAAACAGTGCACTCTGCATCAGCAACATCTTCTGGTGAATGCAAGAACTAGGATATAAATGTAAGTTTCCAGACTGCAGACCAGGTCACAGTCTGCTTTTTACTGACAGCTTTCTTGAAGTGAACACTGCCCAGTTAACACCAGTGAGGACTCAGACCTGGGATAACCTTGACATCCAAAAAAATACTTCCTCATCCTGCCTTTATACAAATCCTGTTCAGTCGGTGGAGGTTTTCCTGTTGACTTCACTGTAATCCTTATTCATTGCTTTAGTGAGCACAAGTCAGACTGCAGAGCAAAGCACACTTACCCGTTTTTCTCTAAGTCCAAGATGAGCTCCTGGCCTTCTGCCTGTATCCGAACTTCAGCTTGGAGTGGATGCTGCATACAAAAGACAGTGCCTGTTACTCATGAATCATCACCACTATGAACACATCCAGAAAAACAAATTGTTCCCCTAGATATTGCAGCTGACCTTAAAGCACTCCTTGCCTTCTTCCACAGGGGAAGGCTGTAACCTTCATTGCCGGAGAGGAGAAGCAATGGCTCCAGATGCACTGCTGCATCCCCACAGCACAGCCACGCTAACGCAGATCCAGCAAGCAGCATGGCTGTGCTGTTAGGGTGCTGCATCTGAGCCAGTGTCCCCAGTCTCCTGTGGGGAGGGATGGGCTCAGATGTGGCAGTGAGTCCTGGTGCTGGAGTGCTTGGTGTGCACTGAGCCCATTTGTGGGCACACCATGGTCAGGTCTGCATCATGGGACATCTCAATTTGCCCCTGAGGTTTACGCATCGAACAGATGAGCAAGTTAACCAAAGCTTCCTTTGTCGTCCCAGCTGAAAAAAGCTTTTTTTAGAAGCCTATTTCAGGACAAGAGGAATCATGCCTCTTTCAGAGATTTACACAAAATTCCTTTCACCCTAGAAATGCCAGGAAGACGCAGGCAACAGGATCCTGTAGATGTCTTCAGATTCCTAGAGGTCTGGGGGACATTTATTTCACAGCTGCTCTTGTGTGAGTCCCAGGCTGCAGAAACCATGGCAGCAGCTTTCCTGGGAGTTCAAGCACAGCAGCCACAGCCCCAGTCTGCAATCCACAAATAGCCCAAAGCACAGCCCTGAGCCAGGATGCAGGACAGCTGGATAAGTTAACACCGTTACTAGAGCTGATAGAAAGGAGCAGTGCAGACAGCAAAAGCAGTGTTAAAAAATATTAATTAAATAATTCAAGGATAGAATATGTTTGCCAGAAGCCCAAAGTGGAGGCCTCTGGATTTCTTTATGGTTTACCTCCCTGTCAAAGCAGGGCTAGCTGAAGTCAGGTTTCTGAATGAGCTTTTCCTCTCAAAGGAAATGCATGAATAAGCCATCTGATAAGAACAGACTTCTCAATTCACCTAAACCGTGTGCCAAAAAAAAAAAAAAAAAAAAAAAAAAAAAAAAAAACCAAACAAACAAAAACTATGAAAACCAGTAAACCAGTGAGAAGCAGTCAACTGATGTATTTCCTTATTGAGTGTCAGAGGGGATTCTGCAGAACAGATCAACCGAAAGCAACATAAAGCAAGGCTGAGTAGGATGCTCTGTTAAAAGGCGGTCAGCCCTGAGGTATGTTTGGGCATCACTCTGTCAGCTCCAGGTTACAAGCTTCTCTTTTCATCAACTCCCCACTCATACTCTGGGTTTTGTTCATCTGTCCTTCATTTTCCATCAGGTGATGCAGAACAACTAAATACCTTAATGCATACAACAAAGGATAATGCCAAGGGGCTGAGTTTTAGTCCACTAAATTACACACTCAGTCCACCACAGAGTGGGTCTGCTGTTTTGATGTAAGCAGTTGCAGAAGATGTTGCCTCACCCATCACTAGGGGATTTGAGTGTCTCTGTGACTGTAACGTCTCTTCATCATTATTACTAATAATGCTTTCCTTCACTCAGCTTCAGAGTCCATTAATTGCCACGTAACAGAACTATCCCAGCTTTACATAAGCTTTGTTAACATGGGTTTGGGAGCCAACAGGAATCTGCTCGAAACAAACCAAGTAAGGACCCCTGAGACACAGCAACTTTATGTAAAGGCAAATGCTGTCCAGATGTATTTGTATCACTATCAATAACAGAGAGAAACAAAACTTCCAGCCTATGTTGCAAGAACATTTTTTAGAGAATTAAGAGCATGAGGAAGCCATTGCAGCTTTTTTCCTTATACAGCACAATGGAGTTATAGAAATTCCTATTGTATGGAAAGGACATTAAGCCCAGAATAACAACAGCTACAGGGAGCTGCCATAATTTTCTTTACAAAAATGCTGTAGCTTTCCTTCTTCTGGTTCACAGTTTAAGCAACCTCATCTGGATTTTCCCCTTTCATTATTTGATACCTTCATGATATCAGCAGCACAGACGCTAGGAAACTGTGGTTGGTTTGTGGTTGACATTCAAGTCCAACATCCCAGCAGTTCTCAGAACGGCTGCAGACAGACCACTGAGAGCAATGAGAAGTGGAGAAATGTCTGTACTCACACAGGGCACAAGACACAGGTGGTCTGAAAGAGCTGTGAATGCCCCATCCATGGGAGTCCTCAGACTGCATGGGGCTTTGAGCAGCTGGGTCTGCTGGGTTGGAGTAGGTAAGCTTGGAAGGTCCCTTCTAACCCAGAACATTCTGTCACTACGATCTGCACCTGAGCTTTGGAGTAACTTGTTTGGTTGGTTTTTTTTTTTTTTCGGTATTGCCGTTGGGTTTTGTTTATTTGTGTGGGGTTTATTTATATATTTTTAAGGGAAACACCCTCACAGCTGTGATCCATCTCAGTACAGTGAAAGCAAAGCTTTAAAGTAGGTCAGAGAGACGCGATCGGAAGCCTCAGTGCAGGGCAGCGAGGATGCACGTGTAAATGAGCAGCCTGCCGAGAGCAGATAGCCAGCGTTCCCCTGCCTTCGGGAGGAATGCAGCGGCTCCCTGACCGCAGCCAGCCTCAGCCTCATCGCAGAGCTCAGCTTAGAACACACAGCGCGCACCGCGGGAGCTCACACACAGGAACCGCGGCCTCATCCCTCCACCTGGCAGCGCTCCGCAGTAGCTCGGCGTAGAACGGGGAGCCCAGCCCAGCAGCACCGCACCCGACCCACCTGCTTTCCGCCGGGGCTCCGCAGCGCGTCCCAGCTCAGCACCAGCACGGCGGGCTGCGGTTCTGTGCCACCAGCCTCTGCGCCTGGGGATAGGGAACAGGAGGCAAACGGCTCAGCACCAAGATAGAGAACGAGAAGCTGGGAGGAGGGGAGCACGGGGAGATAGATACCCTGCCATCCCAAGCCCATCCTCCCCGAGGCTCATGCAGCAGAACGCACTCGTGCCCCCCTCCCCGCCGGTCCCCATCCCGAAGTCCCCGCACTCACTGCGCGGCGGCTGCAGCAGCAGCGAGAGGGCGATGCCGCAGAGCAGCCCCCGGCCCCGCATGGCTCCAGGCTGGACTCGGCTCGCCACCGCACCCCTCATATATAGAAGCTCCCGGTCCGGCTTTCTCCTCCCACCCGCAACACCGCCCTACAGCTCCTGCCCGTTTCTTCCTCTCCCCACTCCAGCCCCGGGTGCTCGGTGGGAGCTCGGGCTGCTTTCATGCAAAGACTCTCCTGTCCCTCCCTCCTCCCCTCCTTTGTCAGCACAGAAAGCCGTCGCAAAGGCAGCAAGAAGGGAGGACGTGCTGGAAGGAAGCAGGCGCATCGCCTTCAAGCAGCTCCCAAAGGAGCTGTGCTATGATATTGTTTCTTTATTACATAACCCAACCAAACTCTTCATGACTGAACCCACGCTGCCTAAAGCATCCTAAATTCCTTATCTCAATGGGCAGCTGAGGGCAGCTGTGATTTATGCTGGTTTTGCAGAAGCAAAGCCAGATTCACGGCTCCTCTCCCCTTCAGGCAGACAGAGGGGCTGGAAGGAGCACACACAGTTCATGGTCCCTGCTCATTCTGTGAAGCTCCCAAGCGAGTATCCCTGGCTTCTTCTGCACCCTTCAGGGCTGACCCATGGGCTGACTCCCTGCACCATCCCTTTGCCAGCTCTCTGCCATGAGGATGAGCCAATTGCTGGGCAGCATTGACCCAGGCTCGGTGACACTGGCACAGGGATATCAATGAGAAAGGTGCTGGCAGCCTGGCAGAGCATGAGCTGGTTAACAGCACAGCCACTGCCATCTCAAGGTGCAGTTACACCAACGAGGCTGGGAGGGAGGATGATTGCATTTTTTGTGGGCTTGGCTCTGAACAGCACGAAAAAGCATTGCCTGTTGGTCATTGCGTTATGCTTCAGCCATTGGTCTGCGTTATCCACAACACCCTTTCCATTCATCTCTGTGCTTCGTGTGTCTGTGTCAGAGGACCACCAGGAAGGAAAACCAGCGTAACAAACAGGGAGAATCCGCACCTGGCTACATTGCAGAGCAAACTGGTAAACAAGGCCAAAAGGAAATGAATAATGCATTTACAATTAAGAATAATAGTAATAGATTTTGCCTCTGGTCCAGTGGTTCATATGCACTATTGAAAACCATTGGGCTTTCTTTAACTGAAGATCTTTGCTGACTCCTATCATTGTGCCCACAGGAAATGCTGTGCCATAAATGGCCTCATACTCACCACAAACAGGTCACAAATGTCCTTTGCACAAATAATTCACAGTTTCTCAGGGTGGAAATCCAGGGACCAAATCAGCTCTTTGAATCCCCTCGAGTATCTTGAAAGGAAACTCAGAGCTTTCTGTGAACTCTCCCATTAATTTGTATCTGCCTGTAATAGAGAAGAAAACAATGGCACTACTGCCAATGCTTTCATTACAAAGAAGTAAAAATGTAACCCAAATTTAGACAGCTATTCTGCTTTCATCCCTGAATGATATTTCTGTCCAGAGAAAAATAATATTTGATGAGGAATACCTACACTTGCACTGAAGGATCACAGATCTTCCCAGCATGACAGATTTTCACGGGGCTGCTCCACCTATTTCTCAAAAAGATCAGCTCAAAAAAGCATAAAATGAAATAAAAAGAATGTATCTTAAAATTGCTGCAACAGTTGGGCCAATAACTGCTGCTTAGCTGCTTGTGATTTTGGTTATAATTCAAGTGTCATAAAACAAAAGTATATGCAGCATTTGCATTTGCTGTATAGTGATATTTTTATCTCTGGATTTAGTAATATGAGAATTGATCTCTTAATTTATAATCAGCAGTAAGTCTCCCTATAAAAATATAACCACATACTGTGCTATCGTTATAAATAGTTTAATCTATATTTATATGTTATATCGCTTACACTGCTCAGGCACTGTTGCATGGAAAGCTGCAGGGTATCCCAGCCTTATTAGCTGTGCTCAGCTGCTGCAATGCTACCTGCCTCTGGCACAGCATGACTCAGATCCTGCCCTGGACCCACTTCTTCAAAAAGCTCTTAATGGGTTGTTTGCTTGATTCACAGAGCGAGATCAAGCTTTCTGTTATCTGGGAATTGCACAGACTCATTTCCCCCACAGTCCCAATTGCCTGGTTAGAAGTATCAGCTGGGAATGTGGCAGTCTGTTCTCTGGTGCCTTATCTGTCCGTGACATCTCCTGTGACCAAGGCAAGGATGTACCTATTAGCAGCAGCTCCTACGCAGCACACAGGGTGGGGGGTGCAGTCATTCTGTAGGTTTGGAAATGGTTTCCATTTCCCCTGGCCAGAGCTGCTGAGCACGCTTTTGCAGCAGGGTTTCTGCACTAGCTTTGCACTATGCAAGGTTGTTTAACTCTTCAGGTTGGCTGCAGGGCAAAAGGTGATGTTTCTCCCATTCCATTCGTTGTAATTTAGAAATATACTAAGAGTTAAGCTCATAGAAAGACAGATTCAGAGAGGAGAGAAGCCTGTTACGGAAACAGACTTACACAGGGAATGATTCGGGTGTGTATCAAACTGAGAGCTCCGTAAAATTTCGTTTGAACTCTCTGTTCAGAAATAAGGGAGGCTGATCATGAACCACCATCGAAAGCCTCTTGAAATTGGAGAAAGTGTTACCGAAAAATCGTAGTGAGTGAATGTGGATGACATTCTGTCACGTGTAACCTCAGCATTTCTGATGCGCCAGTGGTAAACATCTTGGCTGACTTGAGTGGCATGTGAAATCTTCCTTTTTTCAGAACATTTTTCCTCTTTCAGATCACTTGAAATGATCAAAGGAGGAAGGCTGTGAATCGGTGAAGGGAACTGGTGATGTAACTTCATTATTTCAGGCCTGAAGAGTTGGGAACAGCTTTGGCTGAGCAAAGATCTTCTGGTTAGCTTTGTTTTTCCACCATCCGAGCAGGATAGCAGGAATACTTGGGAGAGCCTTAGAGCAGCTGGCCTGCCAAAGAGGGAGAGGCACTGTAAGATGATCAGGTACCACACAAGGGCTTGTCCCAATGTGCTGTTACTGAAATACTGTCAAAGTGCTCTTTCCTTTTTTTTTTTATTTAAGGGTGGGCCACTGCTGCTAATTTTGCTTAATTCCTACAAAGAAGTGCACAGATCAGTATATGCTGACATGCTGCATCCTTCTGACTATATTTGTATATTAAAGCACTGCAGTTTTCTCCACGCTGACTTTAAACTTCTCCAGTAGTATTTGTACCAAAGTAGCAAATGCCCCTAAGAAGGGGAACAGGTTTAATGACATAAGGGCTTCTAATGACCCCAGCCCATAAAAATGTCCAATAACTCTGGAGAGGAAAGTAATCTCTGCAAAAGTGTAGCCACAGGCAGTGACCACAATGAGAAGCAGACTACTAAAAGTTGTTACAGCAGCAAGAGAAAACAAACTTTGGAATCGTAGACTAGTTTGGGTTGGAAGGGACCTTTAACACCATCTATTTCCAATCCCCTGCTATAGGCAGGGACACCTCCCACTAGACCAGGTTGCTCACAGCCCCAGATATCTTTAGAATATCTTCATCTGATACTTTTCAAACTTTGAAGCATGCAAGGTGATTTTTAGTCCGGATTAAGGTAAACAGCAGAGAGAGCTGGGTCTAATGCTGTATCTGCAGACACAGATCCTGAATGTCTGATACAGGCCTTCAGCTCTAACAGGAAAGGCAGGAAAAATCAGTCTTACATTTTGTTTCCAATTAAGAAATTCAGGATATATTAAGCTTCAGTCTTCTTATTGTCTTTGTGGTATTAAACAGAGGAGATTTCTATGGAGGATATGATACTGTGTTTTCCTAAATGAACGACCCAGCATAGCAGATGCTGAATGCCTCACCCCTCTGAAGCTCACACACAGTTCTGGCTTCACAGTAAAACACAGGATACAACCGACACTGAAATCAGTTTGATGTTCATGTTAAAATGAAAAACTAGGGGAACATTACTCAGGTGAGTTTATTCAACTGTAACAACAGAAAGATAACAGAATTCCTGGACAGAAACGACCTCCTTTTCGCAATACAGAACCATGAACGCTTGTAACATTATTTACATATTTGGGCCAAAAATTTTTGAATTTCCTCACTCTGAGTTCAGCACAGACACCCTCTCTATTAAAAGCCTTTGATATTCCTCAGAGAATTTGGAATTCTCTGGAGAATTCTTTAGAGTAATAACGACACTCAGAGATCAACTCACAGTCCACTAATGTCAGTCACAGGACTGGATCCCATCCATTTTCCCCTCTCTAGGTTTACCACACATCCACCTACCTTCTGGGCAATCCGTTTTCCTTAATGGAACTGGTTACAGACTAAGATGTTACTCAAACTGATCTATATTATCAGTGCATTATATAACATTTGTACTACAAACGCAGAGTACAGTAAAAATTAACCAAATTAAACAAAACTGTCTCATGAAAGTAACAACAAAAAGCACTGCAGAATCATTCTTGGCTTCACTTTCTGGGCCTCGGAGTATTTTACTGCAGCCAGAATTATTGCTAAAATTCCTAAAGTAACACCTAAAAAAAATGGAAAATACCATTAGAACATCTGTAAACAATAAAAGGCAGTATTCTAATTCAGAGGAGCAATAAAAGGATGTGCTTATAAAAGGATGTGCTCAAATATATCTCTCCTCAGGAAAATATCTTTGTCAAATGTTGTCAAATATCTTGAGTTGAGTGTAAGTGCTTTCCTAAGCCAGAGTCCAAGCAATGCCCTGACGAACCAGGTGAAACTTCAGAAAGCTTTTAGACATTCCCAAACCTGTATGTGACCTCTCAAAGTATAAGCAGTTCATTAGAGTCCTCAAACTGACATGCATGGGTTGCTCAGGGTACATGGGTTTCCCATTGAACACATTCTCTGAAGACGGTAGTGACGAAAATATTTATTTCCTCTTCCGTAACAATTTCTTAGATTATCAATTGGTTTAAAAATCACAGCTCTTGCAACACCTTTTTTTCTTCTTCGTCCTCGCTGTCAGTCACATTGACTAGCTGGATGCTGGAAGGAGAAGGTGGGGTGGCTGGCAAATCATTCTCAAGTGCTCCAGTGTCTAGCTGTGATATGGGGCTAATACTAATACAACCCTCCTCACTGTGGCTGCTGTGATAGGTCACTTCTTCGAGGTCTGTGCAGACACGTGAGTCTTCACGTATTCTTCCCCCTGGGTGTCCCCTGAAAGAGTAATCTCTGTACAGAGGTGAAAACTTCATCTCCTGCTTTTGGTAGCCATCTCCATAGAAGCCAAAGCATTCAGGCACTGAGCTGGAGAAATTCCCGCAGCCAAAAGGAGGACGGCTGAATGGGCACGTGCTGCAATGAAAGAGATTGAAAGTAGTCCTTCAGATAGCTGGACTTCCATCCAACTGAGAGAATCAGAATGTTAGTCTAAGTTAGTTTAGATGAAACCATCAAAGTACACATACTTTAGAGCCATGTCTTATTTAAACACTGGTTTCGTAAGAAGAGTCGTACACAGACTCTGTATTAGCAAGGATTGCATATGCAACCCTTCATAGTAAACACAGGCAGGACATTACTTTAAAAACAATCAAAACCCCATTGTTTTAAAGTATTAATTAATGTCATGGATAAAACAGAATCAAGTAAGCCTGCAGTACATTAATGTACATACTGAGAACGGTGTAGAAAAGTATAAGAAATACAGGGTATTACATGTGTTAGGTTGTAAAGACTTTGATTAGGTGATCTTCTCTGATTTACTACTCAGAGGCTGCAAAGGATGAACTAGTAAGGATGAACTGGTGATGTAATATTTCTGAAGACATTTCCCACAGGACCAGATTTCAGAAATATTGGTAGTTATGACAGCTACAATCATGCAAGTAGCTGGGAGACATCTCACACAAACTACTTAATTGCATCTGATCATTTTGAAAATACATTTACCTAATACTTTTCCATAGAGATCAGAAGTAGTGCATCTAACTGCACTTAGGAGCATGAAGTAGAGAGAAGGTACTTCTATTTACTGTGGGCTTGGGAATGGCAATTATTAAAATCATACTACAGAGCCTTCAGTAACTATGCATATATTACAAGCAGCCTCAGGAAAGCAGGTCCCAGCACATACAAGTCATGGGAAGAGCACCCTTCCTTTACTGGCACTGTGTTCTTGTCTCAAGAATTGAATGCTCCATCTGCTTTCTGAAAGTTAAAGCCTTTTAGCACTTAATCTAAATGGGATTGAAATGAAGGGTTGCATTACCTTGAGGGGATATAGTGAGGTCCAGGAACAAAGTAGGGGTGATAAAACGAAAACTGAGGAGGTACTCCGTACAGACTGGCTGCCTGCCCAATGGGAGGACTCTCACAGAGATGCGAATGAGGAAGAGGTGTGACCTGGGGAAGAAGTACACCTCTAGGATAAGCAGAAATCCCTGAGAACTCCTTTGGAAACTCGCTATTAGGGACAGAAAATCTGTCACTAGTGTTTGATGTGGCACTTGAACTTCTACTGGAGAGATCAACAACAACTGGTGTTGATCTCTTCAGAAAGCAATAGGATCCAGATGATACATCACGAGCTTCTCTCTGAGTAGGCTCAGCAAAGTGCTGTGATGCAATTACAGGGCGCAGAGGCAGGGTTGGAGCTGGAACTGCTACTGGAGTGGTGCTTGCAATAGCAGGTCGGAAAAGATTAATTGGACTGGGACGTTGAATAGAAGAAGCTGGCAGCCGGCTGGCAGAAGGAGCTTCACCTTTAGGAAAGAGAGCAATTATTTATCAGACATGGGTAAAGGAAGAGATTTCATAAACAGTGACATAGCAAACCACATCTGGAGCCAAAACCATTTCCTCCAAAACATTTTATAGCATCGCTTCCCTGCAACTCGAGTCACGTGCCAATTGGCCCATGTGTGTCTGGCATGGTTTTGGAGTCCATGTGCTTAATCTTCCTTCAACAGAACAGAACAAAAACAAGGGTGAATGAAAAATGAACTACCATTTAGTGCCTGAAGATCAAAAGACATCCCAGGTCTACTAGCTGAGATGGCATGAGCCAAATTCTTCATAAATTTGCATGGTGCCAAAGCAGAAGTGAAGAGCAGAAGTAATAATTACAGAACAGCTCTTGATATGTTTTCTTATTTGTTTCACCTACAAACACTTCCACTGGCCAGTTTCACTTTAAAACATTTTGCAGATGTACACTTTCAAATTATACTTCATGTTAAAGACTGCCTTTGCACAGTAAGATTCCAAAACACATTACATTAGTGTTCCCAAAAACCACTAGCTAGTCTAAGCATCTAAATGCTGAGTCAATGAATCTCAAATGCCTCCAGATTTTACCATTTGTGTTTCAGAGTGATTTCAAGCTCAATAGGATAGTAAACCCTGGAATGAAACACACTAGCATCTGAGGACACTACAACATTATAAGATACACTGGGGTAAGAAACAAAACACTTAATTCTGTCAAATTTATAGAACAATTTGAGAAATGATCATATATCTACTTCAGAAACTTTGCCACAACAAAGTACCCCACGTGCAGTTACATCTGGGGTGCAAAGATATGGGTGAGGGAGGCAGAACAGGGAAATGAAACGACTATAGCTCTTCAGGAGGCAAGTGTTGAATAACAGACAGCCGGAGAGACCCAGGAGGCAATAGGAACTACAAAGACAATAGCAGCATTTGTGGAGGATGAAGAGGGGGACAGAATTAAAGAGCAGCTAAGTGTGAGGAAGCAGTAGGTAGAGTCTAGGAGGCAGAGGTGCAGTGCAGAGGAGAATCGAAAGAAATAGCAATGTCCATGCAGACTGAGAAATCGTTTTTGAATATACCTACACTACTAGAGGTATAACTTCTGCTACAACAGGTAAATTCCTGATTTTGAAAATCATTCACTACTGCAACTCACAGACTGGATGTCCAATATTTTTCTGAATATTGTGCATGGCAGCAGGAAATGCAGGCGATGAAAAGGGATAAACAGCAACTGGATTTGTAGTGATGATATTCTGGGTAGTGCTGGAAAATACAGCAGAGACAGCCAGTGGATAACGCTTCCTCTTGCCTGGTCGTGGTTGATAAACCCAACCTGTCAGAGATGAAAAAATGCAGATATACCATTTATAGGATGGTGTCTCTGTTTCTTTTTCTTTTCTCTCCCTCTCTCTCTCTCTCTCTTTTTTTTTTTTTAACCTTATACCTCAAGAAAAAATCAGAAAAAATGTCAAAGAATTCTCAAAATGCTTCAATAGCAAAACTGCCTTTCTGTCAGTGAGCGAGTGAATGGGGTGTTTTATCAGAGGTGGAAAGAAAATGGACACGTTTGGGCACTGTGCTTGTGTTACTGAACTGTAACTGTTAGTGAGACAAAGAAATACAGCAGGGTAGGGAGGGACACGGCACAGCTACAGAAAGCATGCTAAGGAGAACATGACACACGCTGGCTTTCCAGTCCTGAAGGAAATCATGACTGCATTCAAAATGTAGGTCTTTTCTGATTTTTTCTTTAACCCCACAAATTTCACATAATGCAAGAGACAATGGAAAATATGATCCAATAGGAATCCCATATAGAGTCTGGCAATAAAAAATATGTTTGCCTCTGACATATAACATTAACTAAACACTAGCAGACTTTAAATAAACTGTGAATTTACACTGAGCAGCCCAGGGGAGAGAGAGAGAAAGAGCACTGCACTTCGTCTTTTGCTTATTTGTGACATCAGGTCTCATCTAGCCATAGTTGTGGGTTAGCAGGATTATGACATCACAAAGGATTGTGACACCTGATATCTTAACAGCTTTCAAAAAGAGTGTTGCAAATTCTTATGTTTTGTTACTATCCTATTAACTAAACTGCAGTGTTGTGGATAAACAGATTTGTTAGGGATTTTGGAGCAACATTCACAATAACCTCTGCATGCGGCCAGAAGAGCTGTGGTGGTCTGGGAATGTAGGAAACATTAGATGCTCTAAAGGATGCACATAATTTTTGAATGCTAAGAAATGAATATGTTTTCACAAGCACTAGAAAGCTGATAGAAGGACTGAGTGCTTGAAATTTGTGTCATGTTTTCTAACTCTTCTCTTTGCTCTAATGAAAGAAACCCTTTTTGTGTTTGTATTTTTTTTTTCTCCTGCGAATCCTGCACTACTAAAACACTGAGGTAAATCAATACGTTTACCAGGAAATTCCTCTCTGTGCCTTTGTTTTATTTTCCGAGCTTCATCATAATAGGGCTGTTTCTGCTCTTCAGTCAGTTTGCTCCACTCCAACCCCAGCTGAACACTGATTTCAGCATTATTGGCATTGGGGTTGGCTTTAGCTAGGGCAGGTCGGTGAATCCTAGCCCACACCATAAATGCATTCATTGGACGCTTTACGTGGCCAGTTTTGTCCTTGCTGAATGGAGTATCTGGCATACCTAAGCAACAAAATGAGGAAAGATCATCTTCCAGGCAATACACGCAGTGCAGATTACATCAAAAGGCTTTTCAGTGACAGTCAATAGAATCTCTAGATCTCCAGAATACACAAAATTCATTGCACAAGCGGAGAGCAATTCTTAGAAAAATAATTAAGGCTCTACTAACTTCCACTGAACCACTGTATAAGGAATCATGTGCATGGCTTTTGTTGTTTATTCTCTTTTTAAAAATATGTAACACATGTGACTGCTAAGAGAGTGTGGATTTCACTTGGCTAGACCATTTCCTGTAACTTGTTTATGAATTGAACTCAGTATGGCATAGACCATATCACTGCAAATTTGTCACCTCCCCCAGAACTGTGTATCCAAAAGCCCTAACGATGCATAGGCAAGGCCTAGCACTGATATGGCACTTCAGTCCCACTACTGAGGAGCCTCTGGCTTCTCTGCTGAGGCTGTTGCTGTGCTGGGTTCCTAGATGGGTTTTTTCCCCTCAGATATGGACAGGCATTTGCTGGAGGAATCTGTTTTATCAACTGACCGTTACATGACACCTAGCTTTACATCTCTGTAAACACAGACTGTGTTTGGATTGAACTGGTGACATAATGAACAGCCAGAACCCTCACAAAATCCCTCATCCCTGAATCCCTCAGCAAAAGGCTTAGAAATGAATTGTTCCATACTATCAATAAAGGGAGAAGGTCTTCTTATCCTTAAAACTTAAAGTCATGAATTTTAAAAGCCTAAAAAACCTTAAATTTTAAAAGCCTTTTTCTTTCCAGAACAATTAAGCATCTAACCCAGATACTACAAAATGTTCACCACTTAACATGCCCAAATTGTCCTGGAGAGGTGTATGAACTCTCCATTTTAAAAATCAAGCAGACACATAAACTGCAACTTGCAATCAAAATTCAGTGTGTTTCTAAACATTTATAAAGGGGTTCAGTAGAGGCAGGGAGCAAGCACTGTATTGATTCCAGTAAGGCAATGGAGAACTCAGTGCTCCTGTACCTCACGCTCTAGGCTGAATTACATGGTTTTACAAAATACAATGTATCCAGAGGGCTAGCTCTCCAGCGCTGTCTTTCCACTACTGATAACCCGTCAGCTGCGTGTCCCTTATTAAAACCCTGCTAACTTGGCTTCTTAACATAATACCTGAATCGGAGGGCAGTACTGTGAGGGGAACGTTTTTAGTTTCAATTTTTACGGAAGGCTCCAGCAGGGTCTGCATTTTAAGAGGCACTTGGCTCACGGGCCCCTTTGACACCTGGATCAGCTTTGGTAGCAGGGGGCCTTGGACCTGTATACGGGCACCAGGCGGCAAAGGGCGAAGCACCAGGGGGATCTTCAGGTCCTCAGGGAGGACCCCCAGCCCCTCACCGGCCTGCGCCACACCGCCATCACCGCCGGCGTGTGCGAGCCCGCGCGAGGCCCTGCCTGCAGCACCGTCCTCGTCCCCATCCGCCCTCGCTCCGGGACGGGGTTCCTTCACGCCTCCTCTGATCTCCACCACCTCCACATCTTCTTGCTCTTCTCCGCCGCGCTTTTCTCGATCCTCTTTTGCCTTCTCTTTTCCCCCCCACGGAGCTGGGGAGCACCTGAGCTCCCCTCCGGCTTCCTTGCTGCCCTCAAGACGGGCGGGGAAGCCTCCATCCTCCTGCTGCAGCTCCTTGGCTTTAACGCGCGTCTCCTGGAGGGGCGCCTGGGCCTCCTGACCGCCTGAGGGACCCTGAGAGCAGAGATCGAGGTCAGAATCCCGGCCGTGGCCGTCGCCCCCGCCCCGCTCCATGACGCCGCTGCCGTTTGCCGCCTGCGGTTGGTCCCCAACGCTCGCAGCGCCCTCGCGCCGCAGTCACCAACGAGAGCGCAACGCTCCCCTCGGCCCCTCCCACCAACGCACCATGCGGTCGCCATAGAGACCGGCATCCGAGATCCATAGAGAAGTCCTCCTAGGCGCCTAGAAGGGCTCACTGCTGTGCCGTCTCTGTGGGTGCCGCGCTGCACTTCCGCCTCCGCTCTGGCCATGCTGGGCTGCCTGCGGGCGGCAGTGGCGGCCATCTCGGCGGGTCGCGGGGCGGGCTGTGTGCGCGGTCGCTTCTCCATGGCGAAAAGCAAGTTCGAGTACGTGCGGGACTTTGAGACGGACGACACTTGTCTGCCCAACTGCTGGATAGTGGTCCGGCTGGACGGCCGCAATTTCCACAGGTGAAGGCCGGGCGGGCAGCCAATGGGCGGGCAGCTTGTTGCCGGGTGGTTGCTATAGCAACGCGGCCACGGCCTGGACCTGGTATGGGGGAGGGTGTCTGGCTGTAAGAGTCACGTCCTGCTTAACAAGTGTGGCTGTGACAGGGACACGGTGTACTTGTGGGGAGGGAGGGATTGCAGCCTGTGTAGAGGGACAGTGTTTGTGCTTGGGGTCAGCATTCACCTTTCTTCAGGATAAATCTTGTTGCTGGGGCTTTGATCTCTGATTTGCTCGAGTCTGATTTCAGTAAAGTTACCAAGTTTTGATGTATTTATTGGTAGTGTTGTCTTGATGGGACTGAGATGCCCTAGGAGAAAATGGCATTATAGGAAATGGTATTTATCATTATCTGAATCCAAGTGAAATAAGAATGATGAGTTAGGGTGAGACCTGATGAGAAAAAGGTTTTCTGCAATGTATGCAGGTTACTTTGTAAACAATGCTTCTGACTTATTTCTTTGACTACAACAACTAAAAAGAGCACAACAGCACTGTTTAATAGAGAAAATTCTCAGCTACAAAACACTATTTTTCAATGCAGTCACCACCATGAACTATGCATTTTTGCCAGCAATGAATAAGAGCCTGCATGCCACACTTGTATGAATTGGCACCAGCAGAGCTGAGCCACTGTCACGGTGCTAAAACTCAGTAGTTTGGCCTCCATGAACATTCAGTAGGTGACGAATGTCGGTGGGTGCCTTTTCTTCCACCTGGAGGAATATTGTTCTGTACCTTTGCTTCATGTGCCCTTCCATGTCAGACTGCCCCTCTGCTGCCATCTGTCACATGGCAACAAAATGTAACACAGTACTGGTGGCATGGTTCAGCCACTGCTGCCATTCCACCAACATCTGCCTCTGACATCATGGACCAACATAGGAGGCACTGCTTTTGGATCAGCTCTTATGTAAAACCGATTTTTTGTTACTGTTCTTCACACCTGTAAGGAATTCTGTTAGTATTGGCTGAATATTGTAAATCAATATTTGTAAAAACTAAATACAATGAAAATGAATCAGTTCACGTTTCCAAGCGACCTTATACAGGATTTTTATTCTACCATTTTTTCCTTGAAGGTTTGCTGAGCAACATGAGTTCAAAAAGCCAAATGATGACCGTGCTCTTCATCTGATGACCAAGTGTGCCCAGACAGTGATGCAGGAGTTGGAGGATATTGCTATTGCTTATGGACAGAGCGATGAATACAGTTTTGTTTTCAAAAGGAAGAGTAAATGGTTTAAAAGAAGAGCAAGGTAACACCTGCTTTGGTATGAAAGTGAGCTTGTGTCTAAGCCTGTGCCTTGGCCCTCATCTCTAGGTTTGCCTTTTCTGTACACAGAGGATACAGGCTGGGCTGTATTTGGAGATACACACTACAGCTAGTTCTGGTTCTTAGTGAGAATTCTGCCAGCAGTGTTTCTGTAGCGTTTAGTGATGTGGAGCTTTAGGTAGTTTTGGTAAAACAGGGCTTCCTTTAGCAAGATGTTTTGCTTTCCAAACTGATGTACTTGATTTATAAAAGATTATGCCATTGAACTGTTGGACTGTTATATAAGAAATAATGTCATAATGTCCACCAGAATTCCTGCTATTGATACATCGTGGTTATAGGTGCCTATTGTCATATTGATGTATGCCTTTCCTTTCCCTTTGTTTTGTGTTTACAAGTAAGTTCATGACTCACGTGGTCTCCCAGTTTGCCTCAAGTTACGTTTTCTATTGGAAGGATTACTTTAAGGACCAGCAACTTCTGTACCCACCGGGATTTGATGGACGAATTGTGCTGTATCCCAGCAACCAAAACTTAAAGGACTACCTCAGCTGGAGACAAGCTGATTGTAAGCATTTCTAGAAAAAGGAACAGTTGAGTTCTCATCCTCTCTGACTAGAAACATCTTTATTGCCACTGTGTTTGTATACAGAGCTTGTCAGTTAAAGAACAGCAGGTGGGGTGGTATTTTTTTAAATAGGAAGTGTTTGTATTGTAGTGGGATTTGTCTGGATGCGTGTCAGCTAGAATTCTGAATATTTAGATGATGACTGAATTTGCTGCATGCTGGGTGTGAATTCAGCACAGGAAATATTAATAGAATTTGGTTGTTATTGTTTCATATTCTTGGGTTTCTTTAACCAAAGTAATCTTAAATGAAAATCTTCTGAAATGCAGGAAAGCAGTAGAGGTTAAAAGGGCTGCATATACCACGCTGAAAGAGTGGTTTCACTTCTAGGTCTCCATTAACATGTAGCTCTTGCTGTTCAAACTGAGGTAACTAAGGTCATACAAAAAACTCCCTTCTCCCCCTGCTCTTCCTTTTCAGATCTGTCTTCTAATTATCACAGTATGCAGTGCATTTAAAAATGGATCACAAAGACTGTATCTTTTCTACCAAATGATATTATTTATTCTCTGAAGTTTTTTGTTGTGACTCTAGGAATTAAATTTAAAAAACAAAAATCTTCTTTTTTTTCCTTCTGTAGGCCATATCAATAACCTTTATAACACAGTGTTTTGGATGCTTGTGCAGCGGAGTGGTTTGACACCAGTGCAAGCACAGGACAGACTCCAGGTAAGAATCTCTCAAGATTATGTTCTGGGTACAAAGAAAATCATCTGGTCTGCCAAGTTGTTCCTTGCCTGCTCAGCAGCCCTGGCTGACTTTTCTGTTCCTACTATAATAATTCGTGGGTGCAGATTCAACAACTTCTTGAATTGTAAAGATGATAATATTGATCAGCAAATAATACATTTTAACTGGAATTTTACCAGTATTTTAATTTCTTATTTAGTGAGTTCAGAAATTGTGAAAACATCATGTAAACATTGGTGTCTGTAAGCAAGAAATGAAATGAGAGGATTCAATTAGTACGGGCTCCCAATCCCTCTTCTATTATTGTCTCATTGTGCAGATTTCAGGTGATCATTTCAGTTTTTCTCTTGGTTTCTGTTGACTTTCTATTTATCTTGAAAACGTAAGATGGACTTGAAAAAACCCTCTGTTTTTTATATCCCCCTTTAGCAGGTGAACATAACTCCTGTGTTGGGGAAAAACACCTTGTAATTCAAAGATGAAAAACCTCGTTAAGTGCCATTATTCCTGTACTTACCCATCTTCTGCTCTGCAGATTCAGTTGGCTTGTAACCTTGTTGGTTTGTTTCTGTCTTTTTCTATAAGAGTACTTGCTTTCATTTTCTTGTAGGGAACTTTGGCTGGAGATAAGAATGAAATTTTATTTTCTGAATTCAACATCAACTACAACAATGAACCTTTGATGTATAGAAAAGGAACTGTCTTGATATGGCAGAAGGTAAAAACTTTATTACCACCTGCTTCATGTTCTTGTTTTAAATAGCTACACTGTGGCCAGAAAGCTAGTCTGAGTGATCACCAAATGGGAGTAATGCTCTGTGGATGTTTGTTTTTAGAGATATTAAACTAACCAAACTTGCCATGTGATGTGGTGAAAGGTGGCTAAGTGTTTTGAAGATGTTTTTAAGTAACCACATCTACAAGCATAGCAGCTTTGAGAATTTAGGAATTTCTGCTTCTTGAAAAAAAGCACATTTTAGTAACTTGTCAGTTTCCACTGCAAAGGAGTCAGAGGCATTCAGTAACACACTCAGTAACTCAGCTGGCAGTATATTTAGTACCCTTTTCTTATGTAAAGGAACATACTACAGATTGCAGCTCTTAATGAATTCCTTGTAAGGATAATTTTCATTCAATGAAATTTTCATCATTCTGCATAACGGATGCAGAATTAGTGCAAGAAATACCAGTTCTGTATGAAGTCAGTCCCAGGAAACTGTAAATGTTGATGGCCTTCAATCTTTCTACCACAGAAAGCTATACTTAGTTATATGGATGTTTCGTGTGATCAGAACCCAATCAGTCCATGCTAAGAGTTCTCTTTAATTTGTTCAGCCTTTTGACTCCTACATATGTGTGTGTCTGTATAAATTTAAAGAATTAATCTGCTTGTTTTTTGCTTGTTTTCTTTTGTGTTTTGTTGTTTGTTCCATTTTAGCCAGTGACTTCTATGACTTCATTTGAAATAATTAGAACAAGTAGAAGCTCTCATCTGCAAATATATTTCACTTGATCCTTATACTTTATCTTTTCTTACTGATTTTGGACATTTCTGAGGTTTCCCGTTTACTTCAAGTGGTTCTGAGTTAAATGCTGTGCTTTATTCAAGGATACTTGCAGTCAGTTGCGTGGAGTTTGAGGTAACTTCCTCAAGCTACGTGATGGTGATGCGCAGTTTCAACTATTCGTGTGTCAGCTGTCAAACAGAACAGACTCAAAGTTTCTGTGTTCAAATCCTATAGTATGCTATAGGCTTGATGGCTACTTTTACTATAGCTCTTATTCTTTGTCCATTCGTGAATCCCCTCTGAAGTCTTATATGTCTGCTAACGTGCCAGCTGTATTTCCAGGTGAACGAGGTAATGACTAAGAAAATTAAACTGCCAAAGGAATCAGAGGAAAAGGAAGTGGAAGTGACCCGGACCAGGACTAAAGTTGTTCCCCTGCACTGTGACATTATTGGAGAACAGTTCTGGGAGGAATATCCTGAGATTCTGGCTGAGGATAGCTGATATCTCTGATGATGGAACTGGTAGCTCGTTCTGCTCTGCTTGAGTTGTTGGCAACTGGGAAAGTATGGGTTGTCACTGGCAGATTTTAACCTGTGAAATGTCTCCAACATTTACACTGCTTTTAGCACTGTAAAGTTGCCTGGAAATGAGACGCTGTTTTGTTGTCTGATATAAAGATAGATCCACGGGGGAAGCCTTAAGCTGTGCTCTATTTAAAATGTTAAGAACTCGTCTTGATTGACTGCTGCTTGTGCATACATGCAGAAAAAGTGTATAGAAATGTTATGTATTTCTGTAGTACATAAATCATGGGATGTTTTACTGAACTGACAGCTGACAAAAAAACTTGCATATTGAGTAGTAAAGGGCAGAGGGAAAAATTGTTTTTTTACTTTCAGTTCAGAGACAGATCAGAATGCTTCAAGTGACATCTAGTATTAAATTTCAAGGCCCCTGCAACATTAGTGAAAAAACTCTTCAACTTCCTAATGACGGATCCTTACAGAGTAGCAATGAAGTACCCCAGCAGTTTCCTATGACTGATTTCAAATGCTTTTGTCAAATGTACAGGATTTTTATACTTTTTAAACTAATAAAAACCAGTTATTTCTTCCTTCTGTATTTATTATTTGGACTTTCTCATTAGTAATAATTAGTGAAGGTTTCAAATAATCTGAGAGTACTGAAACTGTGCAGACTTTAATTCTGTTAGGGCATAAATAGACATCGTGCTCTCATCTTCTGTAGCCTGGGAAGTCATCTTTCCACTACCTGAAATGCAGGGGCAAATGCAGCAAAGTGTGAATGTTCTTGTAAAGATTATGCTGACAAGAACTTGTGTTGCTGTTCTCTGGTTTTCCTGGGTAGATACAGATGCAGCAGTCATGACTGCTGTGTACACTGGGAAGGGGGGAGTGAGTTGTTGCTGAAGTTCATCACTGTTTAACTATTAATTAATCTATTGAAACAAATCACGCAGCGTCTCAGAGCAGAAACATTCCTGCTGACGTAAAGGGACTTGCCCCAGGAGAAATGGAATTTGAGGAAAATAACCTATTTCAGTACAAATGCTTGTTATGTCATTATACCTGTATTTCTATAAGAATGATATTACTGCTTTTAACCAGACTGGTTTCAGAAACATGGTGCTAGAACCATAATCTGGTTAGCAAGCTGTTAAGGGAGAACCCACAGTTGGGACCACCCACAGAAATGGAAAGAGGATCAAATAGCACTGAGTGCTGAGCTGAGTTGGTTTATCTGCTTTCCTGCTTTTCTTCTTACAAGAACTTCTACATTTAAGGCAATGTGCAGATCTTAGTAAATGAAAAACAAGCCCATAAACAGGCATTTTGCTGTGTTTTGAAATACTACTTGCACTTTCTTTTTCTGCGAATGAATGGTTAGTCTGTGCAGTTACAATACTGGGACAGGAAGCTCCATGATGTACCCTAGTTCTGAGAAATTAATGCTGAACAATAAGAATAATATATATATTCTTAGCTGGTAGAATGGCACATACAATTTCTGGGAAGAGGATATGAGGGAGTGTGAGAGACAATTCTGTATGAATCATTTTGCTGCAGTATCAGAGTGGTTTCAGTGGTGGCTTGGGGTTTTTTCATGTGTATTTTTAAAATCAGAAGAGTAATTTTCTTCAGTCTTACACGCCATGTTCCTGCCTGGAACCTCATTTCAGACACTGGTTGTAGAGCAACCGCTCCAGACTTGGCAATATTTGGGTTTGGCAGGCTGAGTAGAGATGAGAAGATATTGCAGCCATGGTCACGTCTCATGTAGGTATTGTTCAGTTTTTCCAGGGGCTGCTGCATGACAGGGGATGTGATATGCAGACATAGACACTCTCAAGGCTGTGCCCAGCTGGGTTTGCCTCTGTGCTGCCAGCGTTGTGCCAGTATCAATACAGTATTATGTAGGTTTTTAATCTCATAGTCTGACACATGCTGTGCTTTGTCTCCTTACGCATGCACACTGTGTGTGTCTGAGCAGAGGTATCAGGTTTATTCCATTTAACTCATCCTTACAACACGCAGTAAGTAAACATCGTATGGGTGGGAGACACTGGAACCAAGCTATGAATCGGCTTCACAGCCACAGCCTTCCACTTTTGTTAATTTAAATGCTGGGAGGAGCACCTTGTGTGCTTAATGGACTTCAAGTACGTGGTCTCGTGCAGTTTCGTACAGGACCTGACTGCACTGAAGAAGTGGACCTTTGTGGCGGTGGTAACTGTGTCAGCTCTACTGCTGTAGCAGGAAGCATTGCACTTCCGTGAGCCAGTTACAAAATATTAATTAAAAGGCAATGGAGTCTGTTACAGTAAAAACACACAGCTACGGAACCACAGCACCGCCTTTCCTTTTTGTTTCTGAGCTGCATAGGATTTAATGGACTGAAATGAAGGTTGTGCCGCTCGCCTGGTGCACGGGCTCCGAGCAGCACCGCCCGACGCTGCGGCTGCACGGCGGGGTCAACGATTGCCGCAGCGTCGCTGGCTGCCGTCGGCCCCGCACAGCCCGGTTGCGCGACGCCCGCCCGTGGGCGGCTCCATGCGCCGCCCCTCCCCGCTCGGCTCCCGCGCCCCGCGGGGCTCTGCGGACGGCGCGGCTGCGCCCCCTATCGGCGGGCGGCACTGCCGCCCGCAGCCCGGCATGGAGGAGGACGAGGGGGCTGCGGGCGGCGCGGAGCAGCGGCACCCCCGCCGGCGGCCCGGGGCCGAGCGCTCACCCAGCCCCAGCCGCCTGGACGTGAGCTCCAGCCGCTTCGACCCTCTGCTGGCGCTGTACTCCGCCGATACCCCGCTCCCCTTCCCCTCCGCGCCCTGCTTCAACAACCTCGCCGAGTACGAGAGCTTCCAGCGCGGCCTGCTCCGCCAGCGCGGCCGCCGGGGTCCCTCCGCCAGCCGCGGCCCTTCCGCCGGGCGCTCCGCCCGCCGCGGTCCTCCGGCCTCGGACCCCGAGCGCATCCAGCGCCTCCGCAGCCTGATGGTGAACGCGGGCCCCGAGCAGGACGCGGCGGGCGGCGGCACGGCAAGGCGCAGGAGGGCGCCGCGTAACGTCCTGACCAGGATGCCGCGTAAGGCTTGCGGGGCCGGGGGCTTGGGGCTGTGTGTGGGAGTCCGAGCGGTTTTTGGTGTTTTATTATAAATACTGCGGGATTATCGCGGTCAGAGCGTCTCAGCGCTGTGACCTCCACGCCATTCTTTATGCAAAGCTCAAAACGTTCGGTTGTGAATGCCTGAAGCAGAAGTTTTTTCTTGTGCGGGTGCCAAAGCATAACGAATGCCTTGCTGCAGGTGCTTTATGAACCCAAATCTCGTTGTGTTTAGGATTCCCAGAAGGATCGGCTTTAAATATTGTTTCGGTGGCTTTATATGATGGCTGAGGTTGGAATACTGTGACTGAAACAGAAGGAAAAAAGAAAAACAGTGTAAAAATTAACTGTAGAGTGGCCCAGCAAGCAGCTCACCTCTGCATTAAGAATGTATATTTTATATTCATGCTTATCAGATGAGACAGCACTTGTTAAGACACAATACCTGAATATTTTTAAGGTTCTTCTGAAAAAGAAACAGGGATCTGAACCAGCACTCTGAAAGAACTGAAAGGATCCTGTGAGTTCTCAGGGTTGGTTTGAAAATGTGCTGTGTGGTTAAAAACATCACTCTGGTGTAGTGACTGTGTCACCTGTGCTTCAGAGCATGGTTTGTTGTCAGGTTGGAGAATGTCTCTGCTTGCCCTCAAATCAAAGCTAGGAGTAGAGGAGGCAGCTTGTATTGGTGTGAAGGCAGTTTTCTCCAGCTGTCCTGGCAGTGGATATGGAAAGAAGGCACTGGATCTCAAAATAAAAAAAAAAGAAGTGATTCAGGTTAATCCATGGGGAGCTGTTCCATGCAGCCAGCCTCTGCTCATCAGCTGCCATACGGTAACATTTGAGGTTTGCAGTGTATACCTTTCCTGATGTGCAATCAAGCCTTGAGTTTGCAGTCCCTAAAATGCAAGGAGAAGGATCATCTCTGGTTAAGATATATTTGTTCATATGAAAAGCTGCAGGAGGACTTAAATACTTCTCATTCTAGAGGAATTGTTTTGTACCAAGACCTGCTGCGCTTCCACTGTAAAGCAAATAATTTCTCTGTACATTTATTATGAATGCATTTTGTTGAAGACCAACCATGTTCTCTTTGTGTTTTAGTGCATGAAGGCAGCCCACTGGGGGAGCTCCACCGCTGTGTCCGAGATGGTGTAAAAATCAATGTTCACATCCGCACTTTCAAGGGGCTCCGTGGAGTCTGCACAGGCTTCTTGGTTGCATTTGACAAGTTCTGGAATATGGTAATTACCATTCCAAGCCCTTCATTTATAGCTGCAACGCTGAAAACTTGAAATTTGCAGCAGTTGTAAGCAGATTGTGTTTATAGATGTGGTATTGTGGTCCCTAAATCTTGTATGCCTTGGCAGTGCATGCTGGGTTTCAGCCTCAGTGGTGCTTGGTGTTGGGTTGGTGTCTGGCTGACCCCCAGCTGCTCGATAGGTCTCAGGTAGGGATGGAGAGATGTTGAAGAGTACCCAAGTGCCTCAAAGGTTTTATGTAAGAACCCAGGAAGGTGGAGAATGAGGAATATCAAGAGCTTCTGAAGATTTCTCTGGTGTTTTTCACTGATAAGTTGCTTTTTGGTGAAGAAGCTTTCCACCGTTCTACCACATGTACATCTTAGAGACAGTGGCTGTGAAAGAACTATTTGTGAGCCTAGGGCTGTGAAAGACTTGGAAATAGGTAGAAAAAAAAACAGAAGGATTTTGCAAGCACGGCTCAGAAAGATTTTGTAAGTAATACGGGATGAGTGATGGGCTTTGCTGTTACTTTTATACCTCGGTAGAACTCAGATGACACAAAGCACATCTCCATCTCCAAAGCACATCTTGTTCCTAGGGTGGATTTTCTCTCAGTTAGAATACCATTTCATAATGCTATGAGACAAAGCTGGCCTGGAGTCTCTGTGTTTTTTTTTTTAAATTTTGTACTTTCCATCTCTTTGATGTTCTTCTAGGCCCTGACAGATGTGGATGAGACATACAGGAAGCCAGTTCTGGGCAAAGCTTTCTATGCAGAACCTCAGCTCTCACTGACCCGGGTAGGTAACCCTCTGCCATTCTAATGTCCTGAGTATCTCACTGTTCAGTGTAGTGGAAGAGGAGTGTTGACTGGAAAACTTACAACTTACAGTTGAAATGTTTTACCTCCTTTTATTACAGGTGACTCTAAAATGACTTGAACTGAACAGTTAAGTTTTCTGAAAGTAGTTTGGCTGTAGTTCAGAGTTACTGATGTTCTGTTGTAGAATTTCCAGTGTCAGATTGTAATTGCTGTCACTGCTTGGTACAATATGCTGATCTTCAATAAGCTCAGTCCCTGGTTCTTGACTGGTTTGTTCTGTACTATCTGCTTTACACTACCACATTTTCTGCCCTCTGATAGCCAGTGTAAATCCAACATAAATCTGGCATTTTATGCCCTAGCTAGTTTGGTACAAAAGTTCTTTCTGCACCCATGATTGATGCAGTCCTCATTTGTTCCATCAAGTGATTGCCTAACTGGTACTAATATTTGTGGAATGACAGTTTTTCCAGCCAGCAGTGTGTCTGTCTTGTCTCCTGGACTTCTAGCCTAGCTACTGCAAAGCCCAAAATTCTTCATGCTGCTGCAAAGCAAAACTCTAGGATCCAGCTGCAAACACATGTTTGTGAAGTTGAAAACTGAAAAAATGATACGTGAACTTCTGAACAATGAAGGAAAAAAAGTGTGACAGGGCTGTGTCTATTCAGTGGCATAGCTTGGGGCCTTCTGAACATCATAGGAGCATCACAAAAATTTTAAATGGTTCCATTGCACAGAATTTGCTTTTAAATTCCTGCCATTTAAGTCTCTTTTCTTATAGATCCCACCCTTCTTTAAAAAAAAAAATAGTTTAAGATAATCAAGTTGTCATTGTTAATTTTAGCCAGCTCTCACTACCCGTCCTGTTGCTAGGAATAGACCACCTCTAATAGACAAGAATCCTTTTCATTTGTCAGTATTTCATAAAAGCTTGGTGCTGCCAGAGTAAAAGCAGTCCCTTTTCCAGATTCTGTATCATGTATTCTTGGATTAATGAGCTCATGCAGTGCTTTGGATCTGCTGCTGTAGCTTTAATTATTTTCCTGTTGTTCTTGGTCTGCTCACCTCCCAGAAGTGGCCTTCTTCAGTTTGTTTTCGGGAGCACAAAGAATGTTTCAGCACGCATTCCTTGCTGTTTGAGGCTCCTTATCTTGAGGGTATGTGTCCCAACTGGGGACACAAGGATGGAAATCTCTCTAGTTAACAGCATTGCAAGAGATTTGGGGAAAGTGAGCTAACAGAGTGACTTAGCAGCTTTCTGTTGTACCTGACCATGGTTAAATGCTACTGCACATCAGTATTGCTCCCACATTCCTTAATTATTGTGTAAATATGCTTATGTACCTACAGGAGATCTATTTACCTTATGTCACAGCTTGACTTTGGCAACAAAGCGTGGTATTTATTTCTGGTAAAGATTCTTCGTTCATTGAGTATTATGAGAACTGGTTTGGGACCGTGTACTCAAATACCATACAGAAGTGCAGAACAAGAGGCTTTCCTTGTTTTCTGAATGGTCACGTACAGAAATGTTCCTTTACAGCTGTTTGACAGACTCAAGCTGCAGGATGCCTCTGTGAAGAAGGGAGCTGACTCAAAGACTGTATCAGGGGAGCTAGCCCTGACAAATGACTCTCAGACGCCGGGATGGAAAGTTGGATCGGGACGAGGGAGAGAAGAAGATGAGCTTGAGAAGCAGAAACGCTTGGGCAGAGGTGGAGAAAAGAAGGTGCCAGGAGATAGTTTGCATCTGGCTGTCAGAGGTGAAGCTGATGTGGGCAGCGGGACTGCTCACACAGGGGGTGCTGCTGCTGGTGGTACCCACACAAGAAGCCAGGCACGGAGGAAAAGGAGGCCCAAAGTGGATTATCAACAGGTGTTCACACGTCACATAAACCAGATTTTTATTCGAGGAGAGAACGTCTTGCTTGTCCATTTAGCTCATTGACTTGGATGAGCCTTCGTCACTGTATTTATTTGATAGCATGAATTGCTGTGGTAGCTCTCATTCCTATTTAGCATTCTTGTGAATGTGGTACTGTGACAGGTTTCCCACTGCCGTAACCAGGTAGGGGAAGTAGTTCTAACTGGAGTATCCTGAGCTTACTGCCAAAGCAGCCTCCTTCAGTCTCTGCTGGGAGTCTCAGGGTGAGGTCAGCAGCACGGTTTTGCTTTGTGAGATGAGGGAGATGAGCACAGAGCCCTCTGCTTCTTAAAAAGTAAACAGCTATGTCAGGAAGGTTGGCTGAGAATGTTTGTGCAGTCAGATATAGGAGCGAACTGTGACTTATGTTTTTGGAGCTGAAGGTGAGATCTCCACCCAAAACAAATCACAAGTGATATTTTGCATGTTCTGAGGAATCCCTGATTTCACATGTTCCAAAACCAACTGTTTATCTGCCATTGTTACACGGATGTTTTCTCTTCCAGATGTAATTCTGACAGATTAAATAATGTGTGAAAAGGGAGGATGACATGCTACTGATGGCTCCATCGTTAGCTCTGCAATGCTATGTGCGATAGAAAACCTCTTGTCTCAGTTGAAGACTGTTCTTTTTCTGTTAATGATTGCCAGGATTTAATCTTTTTTCAATGTCAAAGCTTGTGCTCTTATTTGCAGTGCCATGCTTTCACCATGTGTCACCAGCAAGCAGCTAATGGAGCTGATGTAGGGACCTCCACATTTGGGGAATATCTCTGAATGCTGTGGATGCGTATGGAAAACTGTGCTTTTCTCTTTCACCCATTTGGTTCTTGTTGCAATAGCAGTATCTGCAAAGATGCAGTTTTCCTTCTCAGATGCAAGTGTTCATGCTGAGCACATCGTGCTGTAAGTGACTTTAAGTTCCCTCTGTTGAAACTAGAGGTGCTCTGTCTCCAGCTGTTCTCGTGGAGCACAAATTGTCACAATTCTTTTCTATCTGTATAAAAGTCAAACTCAGCTCATTGGTCATTTTATTTTAGTGTTCTTAAGCTATGACAGATCAGGCCAGGCTTCTGCATATATAAACTACTTTCGGAGAGCTATGTACAAAAGTTTGAGGGTAAGTAATGCTGTTAAATTGTCTGTTCTCTTGGATGGCAGAGGACGCTAGATTTCCTGCTGCTGTTCCCATTTTCATAGCAACTACCTTATGCTTCACAGCAGCTCTGGTGTGAGGATGTGAAATTGCCAGGACAACAGGTGAAACAGCTTTCTAGTGCTTTATAGCAGGTCTTGTGTTGCATACTGAGGTCATAAGTCCTCAGACTGAGCAAGTGTCCTCTTGAATGACATGTTTCTATTGCAACAAATGCAGCATATTGCTTGCTTGTCATTAGGAGGTGCTTGGGTGAATTACAGAACTCATTTAGCAGGAGCTCCTGGGCACACAGAGCAGCTTTGAACCTCTGGGGGAGCCTGAAACTTTTATGTCAGCATTTCAGATTGAGGTGGGGTTGGATGACTGATCAGCACAGCCACTGAGAAGCAAATCTGACTTCAGACTGGGACAAAAGTACCTCAGATTGAGAAGTACTGTGGAGGCAAAAACCGATTTCACGGAGTTAAGAAAAAAAGAATATTTACTATTTTTTATTACACATAACTTCAGTGCTGTAATTCCTCCCTACTATGAGCTCAGCACTGAGCAGATTTGTCCCTTGGAGGTTCTTGCCTCTCCTTGTGCTGTTGTTTGTGTTGATGTGGGCCACTGTTCCCTCGTACAATTTCCTTCTTTCAGGAGTTTTTCTCCTCAGGATGCTCCTTTCTGACTTTGCTTTCAGAACATTGTTCATCTCTTTACCCTTGGTGGCTCTTTCTAAACCTTTCCTGGTTGCCTTTCCTTGCACTTGCCAGCTGAACAGAATTCTCACAAATTACTTCAAGCATATGAAGCTAGAAACAAGGAACTTCTTTCTGCTCCTGAGTTCTCAGCAACTTCCATTGCAAATTACTATTTTTCTTTATTTTGTTTTCAGTGGTGTTTCTTTTTTCTCCTCCAATTTCCGACTGGTTTGTTTCTGTTTCAGCTTTGTGGGCTGACTGTATCTGCCTCTTCCATTCACGTGTGCCAGAGGCTGCTGGTTTGACCCTCCCTTTTCTCTCATACTTGACCACGGGGTGTTGTATCTCCACTCTCAGGCCTGTGTGTCAGATCTTCCATTCAATTTTTGTGGTTTATTTTTCTAACCTCATATCTGTATTTCTCTTTGTCTGCCTGTTTCTTTCTTTAAATCCTTCTCTATATCCTTTCTTACACATTAAATAAGATACAGCTGCCTTGAGTGTTCTTTCAACTTCAGTGCCCTCTTTCCATGCCACTGACACTTTACTTACTTCACTTCACTTTACTTACTTCACTTACTACAACAAGTCTCAGTGTTTCCTTTCATAAAAGGTTTTTTTCTGGAATCTTACAGGTGTTTGTTGCTTCACATCTGTGTGTTTCTGTTTGTAGATTCTATGAGAAATGCTGGTGCTCACACTTGCATTGGTGCCTTGATTTTTATATTGCTGACCTGTTCTTCCACAGTCATCATCTCAGTCCACAAACTTGGTTAAGATCAATGCCGTTTTATTTCTTTTTCCTCTACCTCATCATTAAACTGTTCTTCCTCTTTTCTCATTGCTTTCTTATCTCTGAACTTGATCAATCAAGTTTCTCTTACACTTTAGCTGTAATGGTTTGTGTGGTGTTCTTCCTTTATTTCCTAATTCTTACCCACTCCTCATTATTTCCAAGCTGCTTCTTAAATGCAGGCTCTGCCTTTCTCCTAGTCTTCCTGTTCCCTACTTTTTCTGACAGCGTATCATTTTAAGGCCCATGATCTAAGTGCTGTTTGATGAACTTTGTCTCACTCAAACACAGTATTTGATTATGACTTAGCAAGTGATGCTGTACGTGTTGTCACTTGCATGTTTAATACTTCAGATAAAGTTCCTCTTTAAATAAAATTGAATGCGATTCCGAAGTGAAGTTTTCTACCTCACTGAAGTATTCATGTAAATTGAACAAACCAAAACCACTTTGTTATTTTGGTTGCTGTTTCTGGTTGTTTCTTTCTGTGTTTTTACCTTTTCCAGACACAGCACAGATCTGGGTTCTTCGTTCAGCAGCTGGCACCTCCTGCATTCCTCTTTTGCTGTAGTGTCACAAAGGTGTGAGCATAGATATCTGAAGTTACTGCGATAGAGAATGAGAGCAGGAGCAGCAGGCAGCCCTGAGACACAAAGTAAAGGTCAACAGGTTTTGAGACAAACGTAAAGATCCCTGGGGGGGGGTCACCTCCTGGTTGCATTCTGCCTGGTGTTTCTGGGATGTTTTTCAGCCTGTTGGTAAGCACTGATTCTGAAAGCCTATTTATTGTGAGGTACCAAATGATTGCAAGGAGCAGTGTTTATTGACCTGCCTTTGAAGAAGTGCTGTGATCACTGGAGATGATTTTAGGATAATTCCTGAAATAACAGATGTGAAACTTGTGCAACGTCGCAGTGCCAGCTGCAGGTATATGATACAGAACATGTGGCTTAATGCAATAGTCTTAGAATTAAACTGGGCATCACAGGTACTTCTCAGTGCCACCATGTGCCTTTCTATTGCCAGCATAGTTCAGTAGGGAATGAAGTCACATGAGAGCTTTAAGAAGGGCTGTTTTGTTGGTTTTTTTTGAGTGGTGATATAATTCTGAAGTCCTTTTCGCACAGTCTGAGTGAGATTTTCATGGCACCACAGGACAAATCCTTTATGTGCTGTTGGGAAGTGAGGAAAACAGTGAGAACCAGGCTGAGCACCGCAGTGTCAGCCTGTAGTTGTGAGTATTGTTCTTTCTTGGGAACCTTTTACTCAGGTGCTTCATTTTTATCAAACACTTGGGAAGTACAGGGTGGAAACAGAATGGATAAGGGCAGCTTTAGAAAGGAACTTCGAGAAAGCACAGCTTTTAGTCCCTCACCTGACTAGTCTGGCTTGCTCATTGCCTGAAAGTTTTTCTGATCTAGAGTCAGGTGCTGGCATGATGTTACTGAAATAGGCAGCACATGGTGGTTTTTGATTGCTTTTCTCCTTCAGCTGCTGGATTGTTTGTTTCTGATGCAGCTTTGCCCTGGGCACTGTTTGGAAGCAGGTCTCAGCAGGATGCAGCTGGAGTTGCCCATCAATTGCAGTGGATGAAGAAGTTCTCAAGAAAAAAAAAAAGGCAGCAGATATAAAAGATGTCTGATTTTTGTTGAATTTAGTGCTGTGTCCAACATGCTGCCCACAGTGCCCTTTCTGTTGCCCAGTGGCGCTGACTGAAATGAAATCGGTACAAAGAATGATTTCATCTGATCTTGAAAGAAAATGGGAAAACAGATGGGTCAGCAAACTTAAGTATCTGAAGATGTATAATTGCAGGTAAACTTTCAGTCTTTGATTAGACAGAGCAGAACTATAAGCAGCAGTTTAAACTGAAGGCTGTGTGGCTGGATACAATTGCAAGGCGCAGCCCTCAGAGGCAAAGCAGCAGCAGTGGTGCAGTGATTGCTTCAACCAGGCACACGCTTTCCTGGGAAGCTGTTATGTGTTTGTGGCTGCCTCAAAGCATAACTGCAAAATACTGTGAGTTGATAGAAAGCTGTTTTCTGCCTGCATCACAGAGTGTAAAGAAGAAATGCTAGATTGTGTATCTTCTGCAGCCCAGAACTATTTCAGTTCATGCTTTCACCTCTTGGCATTGGCTTAAAAATTGGAAGCTTGTACTATAGCAATTATAAGACTGCCTGGTTAGTGCTTACTGGAAATGATATTTAAAAATTAAGAGATTACAGGATTTATGGAATTACATGATACTGACTGATACAGTGATTAAAGGTTATATTATTGTGATTAAGGCATTACAAACCAGAAATCTCTTTTCTGAAGTATACTATGAAGATGCATAAATGGAAATGTATGAAGCCACTGTAGGAACAAGAGAAGATAAATAATCCTTCTCTTCTAGTGCAGGAAGATGATCTTCGTAGAGTGAGGTAGTTATTTCCAAGCTGGTTCTCCCAGCATTTCCATGCTTGATGGGAGATGGGCATAAACAGTCCAAAATCCAAAGTGACTTAGGCACAATCACAAACAGAGCTCAAAGGGACACGAGTCTGCTTGCCAACTTGAATATAAACAATCTTAACTTCACAGTGAAAGTTTCTAGAAGAGCAGTTCCAGTTTGTAGCAATCAGGTGTCCACAACGCTGGCAGGGTGCAGCTTTCTTGGTGTTACTGTCTCCCACAAGACTCTGTACAGCGGTTCTCCTAGAGGTGTGCTGTCCTGTGTTACCTTGTGTTTTGCAGACAAAGCAGTGAGTGTGCAGAGGTGATTCTGTAGTGCAGCCTCCATTTGTTGAACCGTGCCCCAAGGGTCTCTGCCAGGCTCCATCCCTTATAACTGATCCTGCCTCTAAAAATGTGCAGAGAAAACCCAGTGGGAGAACAAACAACTAAGGAGATTTCCTCTTTTGAGGCAGGGCTGGCAGGAGGCTTGGTTTTCCTCGTTAGCTTTCTGGGGGTGCGGGAGGAAGGACTGCTTCAGTATTCAGGGGAATATCAGAGCTGGCTTGTCTCATGATGTTTACACGTCCTTTCAGATGTCACTGTAAGTGCTCCTGCTCTTAGCTGGGAGAAGTGGAGGCCTGTCAGGGAAGGAAAATGGTTTCTGATGTTCCTGGATAACTGTTTTATTAGCTGCTACCTTCACAGTGTACACTTGGATGACTTAGCTGAAGAAAATTAGTACACCTGAGACTTTCAGTCAGTCTTGTATTCGTTTAGAATGAAAAGTAGTTTGATCAGTTTGTGTAAAAACATATCCATCTTTTTTTTCCTCTCAAAAGATCAGTGCTCTCTCTCAGGCAAGAAATGAAAGCTGCTCCTGCTCCTTTAGTGATTGCTTCTGATTTGCACTGCTTCAGAGCAAAGTGCAGCTGTGTCATTGTACCTTCTGCCTGACAGATCATCCTGAGATGAGAAAATGAGAGCAGTGCTCCATTTCTTTAACACTAAAATGGGCATTATGAGAGGAGCAGTTGTATTGACCTCTTTCCAAATGGTGCATGCATCCAATATAGCTGCATGGACTGGGACTTGCAACCAATTAGTCAGTTACAAAGCTTCCCCAGTGAAACACAAAGGGGCAGCACGACCTACCAGACCCATACGGGGTTGGAAGTCAGGTGCTGACAAATTCCAACCTCACTACTGCCACTCACTCACTGAATGGCCTTGGCATGTCACTTTCCTATATGCTCCACAGCTATAACCCGTCTGAGAGCAGTCCTTGCCTGTCTCACCAGTATCTGGGGGAGCAGTGAGCGCTACACAAGTGCTAAGTATTGTTATTAAAACTATAATATGTCAGGTAATGCAGATACACAGATCATCTGCCCTCTTCAGGCACTCGACTGTTAGTCTTGTGTCTTGGTACACGGGAGGTGTGCCAGACATCAGGTGTAATGACGCACTTCAGTCCTGGAACTACCTGTGTTTTCAAGGTGACTTCAATATCTGTTTCACACTGCAGTACCATGTTTGGGTCAAACTGATAAACAAGGGTGTAACTTGTATGTAATTCCTTCTCTGTCTTCCTATTTTGTTTCTTAGGAAGCTGATGCTGCTATGAACATATTGAATAATACCAAATTTGCAATATTCTGCTTTCAGATATAAATGTTTATATTTAAAAGTGCTAAGACTACACTGCAATAAACAATATCCATTTAACAGTTGGCTTCAAAGCTTGCTTTTTGTGCTCTCTCTAGTATGCTTATGACAGTGCTTAGGACAGGCACATGGATGTAGGGGCCACAAGTGCCAACTGCTAGTGCTTCTATCCAGTGTATGATCTGAGGGAAGCAGTTGTCTTTGTGTTCAAAAGCATATTTGGCCACAAATTAACATCACCATACCTGTCTTTTAGAGATGCAGAAAGGAAGCGAACTTCACACTGAAGAATGTAAGTACCATCCTGATCAGTCCAAGGGCTGCTACATAGGATGTATCTTCCACTGTGCCACCAGGAGAGGGTTTTCCAGGAACTGGAGAGTTCCTGAGCTGCCATGCAGTGTGAGTAGAGACAGCTTCTGACTGCCAGGAAGCTGATTGGTCCCACAGTAAACGGTGCTGGTGTGTTTGGATCACAGGTGCTAAATATATGGGTGCAGGTTGCTAGAGGTGATAAGAAATCTGTTGTGGAATTCAGGTGTTTTGTAAAGGAATCAACTTGCCAACTGCTTAAAGAATACAAAATCTGCAGTTTAAAGCTACAAGCAGCAGTAGGAGGATGCATGTAATGAGAAGGATCAGACAGCAGCAAATTCAGAGGTCTGCACCCATTGACTTTCATTTGCATTTTAAAGTGTAGTTCTGCACCAGGAGCATGCCCTTTCTGCCATGTGTCTGGTATCTCTCTGATGTCACTGCAGTCAGAGTGGCAGTGGATTCTTGCTTGCTCTTTTAGATTACAGCTCTGTTTAATTGACAAGTGCAAAGGATGTGAGTTGTTTGATGTTCCTGCAGGTTGTGAAGCACGTGCTCTAATACCTCCCTAACCGGAGTCACATCAGTTGGTTTAAGTGCAGCAGTTGTATTCCTGAGCTTTCCATGAAACAAGTTTGGCACTGCCAAGGAAAACTGGAGCTTTTTGCATTGTTCTACTGCTCTTAGCTATTAAAACCTAAACTGTAGCTTTGCCAGTGTAAAAAGGCCTGCTAAAGCATGGTTGGAAACTTCAGTCTCGCATGCTGACTCAGACATGTGGGTTGTGGGTGTACTTGCTTGCAGGTGACGTGCATCTGAGAGTACTTGTGCAGACAATTGTCTCATATCCAATGAGACCATTGCTCAGGTTAAGGGAAACAATGGCTGGAGCAATAAGGCACAGTTAGAAATTCCAGTTCTGAGCTTAGCTGCTGTCCAGGTATTCTATGTAGCACATTCATCTCACCACAGTTCTGATGTCAGTTTGTCTTTGAAACCTGTGAACAGGTGGGGCTTCTCTGGCGGTACTGAAGCTGTTGGAGGTTGGGACCGCATCTCATGCGCTCACCCCGCCGCTCCCCGCCCGCTGCAGCCGCGAGGTGGCAGCAAGGGAAGGGGAATCCCGCGGCCGCCGAGATCCCGAGGGGTTGGGAGGATGGGGGGGAGGAGATCCCACTGCGAGCTGAGATTTAGGTTGGATTTACAAGGAGGGTGGTGAGGCAGTGGCACAGGTTGCCCAGGGAGGCGGTGGTGCCCCATACCTGCAGACAGCCACGGTCAGGCTGGAGAAACTCTGAGCACTGATGGAGCTGTGGGTGGCCGTGTTCATTGCAGAGGAGTTGGAACACATCTCCTTTAATGTCCTTTCCAACTCAAACGATGCTGTGCTGATTTACAGGCTGGAATCCTATATTGCAGAATACAGTGGTTGGAAGGGATCTCTGAGGCTCCCCCAGTCCAGCCCCCCCACTAAGAGCAGGATCCTGCAATATGGTACTCAGTTAAGCATCCTCCTGGGTTTTGAATATCTCTGGATAAGGAGAGCCCACCACATCTGTGCAGTTCACGTGGAAGTGACGTGGTGTGGAAAATACTGAAATAGTATTCTTTGAGCCCGTGGGCGCTGTCGTGGTGTGGTCACACACAGCTGCAGCAGAGGCTTGAAGGGAACCAGCCCCTCTTCTGCTCTGCCCTGCTGGGGACCAGCTCAAGCACAAGGGGTTTGTCACATCAGTGTGGTCAGTGGAACAAGCGCGCAGCACAGCGATCAGGAAAAGGATGTGGGGGTTTGAGTGGAAAATCTGATGCTATTGGACTGATGTAGCAGCAGGAAGGATGGCAAACAGGACATTGCACAGCAAGGGGCAGAAAGAGCAGAGTAGAGAGCTGTGGCTGTTATCTGAGTGAACCAGAGTGAGCCAGAAAAGAGGAAGTGAGGGATTTTACACTTCTCTGCTGGAAGAAGGGCGCTGTGGTGGTTCTTTGGGAAGTATGGGTGAATGTTGGGCAGTATCACCACGTTCTCAAAAAGGTCGAAGAAACAACTGAAAGAACTGAAAGAATTTTAGTTGCTTAGAGGCTCCAAAATGAGAACAGTGGGAAGGAGAGGGAAGATGGGGACTCTCAGCAAGACCTCCCTGCACCACACACCTTGTTTGTCTTCACTCCAGCTCAAACCTGGGGTAAATGAGCTCAAACAATGCTGGAGGGATACACTTCATGCCTCTGCTATTAGCTGCTGTAATGCCTGTGCTGCTGGTTTAGAAGCTGTGGTTGGGGGGGGAGGGGTGGGGGGGTGCTACCAGGTCACAGCACTGAAGTGAACTGGGTGGAACCAGGGTGGCAAACTAGGACTTAAACAGCTCTAAATTCAGCCAAATAGTGCAAATGGGCACAAACCTCAGTCTTCTCCAGCACCCCTTTGCCCCCCAGCTTGGTGTTTATGATGCAGTAATATCTGCACGTTTGCTAAACCACCTCCATCAGGCAATGACAGCTTTATACCTGTAAGATAGCAGGTAGTTATTAGTTTATTTTAGGAACACATGCATTCTTGTCATTCCTCCTCCAACCAGGATGCTTTGAAGCTGCCCACTCCTCAGCTTGCTGTTTTAATTAAAAACACAGACCCTTGAAAAAGCAGGTTGTACTGTCTCCAACCTCTTGAGACACAGCAAACATCAGTGTTAGCGTGCAGCACTTGCTGAGAGCCATCCTTGGCCTCGTGTCTATTTTGCAGTGTAAACTAATGAACAAAGAGCTGCTATTTGTCACGATATCCAGTGTAAGGGCTTTCAGGGAGTGCTGGGGGCTGACAGGGAGATACTGCAAGAGGCTGCAGACCCTGACCTCAAGTAACAGCTTCAAAGGAGCTCCTGAAAAGTTCTGCAGCACCCAGAAGGAATTCTCTTAGAAGGAATGGAGCAGTCAGTGCACTTCAGTAGCTAAAACTACATCAAGGCTTCTGCTGACTTGGTGGAAATGACATTGTTTTCCAGGGAAACGCTGTTCTGTGAGGTCTGCTTTTCACCCGAGGAAAAGGAGCTGTGCCTTACGTGATGATATCAGCTCGCACCAGCAGTGTGCCTGCAGGGAGTGTGCATGGGAAGGAACAGGGGAGCAGAGCAGGAGCCACAGAGCACTGTCCTTATCTTGCTGTGAGGGGGCGAGACAAAGCCTCAGCTCCCAGGTAGGATGGCACAGCCTGTATCAAAGGAAAAGGTGGGAAATCAGAGACGGATTCACCGAGCATCTTTTAGTCCAGATGGCACTGCCTGCTTCCCCCTCATCCTCCTCCTTACCTCCTGCCCCACACTCAGTGGGCCAGGCACACAGCTCCCCATCAGTGATGTTTCTCCGAACCCTGTGTTGTTTGCAGGTGCTTGAGGTTTCCCTGAGGCTGCAAGCCCCAGCACAGAGACTGGAAGGTGGCAAGCCAGTGGTTTGGCTCTTCCTGCTGCCCAAAGACAGTATCCATGAGCCAGAGTTCTTTGCTTGCTCCCATCAGTTCTTGGAATCCAGGTGATGAAAAAGGGTGACATCACTGTGACATTTCCATGTATTGAGCCAGGAATACAGAACTTCCATCACCGGGTCAAGAAATTCACACACATTGAACTGGGCTGGAAAAAAAAATCACCCAGGGTGGTGTAGGCTCAGAGACAGACGCTCCTTCCTCACCTCTTCACACCTCGGTGGGACTTGGGGGGATGCGGTCTTCCGCCCAGAAGGGTGAGAGACAACGGGTGAACAGAGGCTGCTGTGGAGAGACCTGTGAAGGAACCCGATTTCCTGTCCTTTAGGAACTTAACCCTTAGCATTCCCTCATCCTGGGTTTGTTTGCAAGTCAGAAATGGGGAAAGATTTTGGTAATTTCAGTATTACCAACAGTTTGTTAAAAGACTAATTGCCAAGTAGCTTATGCATGTGGGACCATTAGTAATTCTGTAGCTATGCAAATTAAAACAGTGATGTATGATTTATAGCTTTAATAATGTTCTGAAGGCTCTTAAATTTTAATCAGTTGCAACATCCTTTTTAATATTCAATTACTTTATTAACTAATTAGGTCACTTGCTGAAAAAGCACATAAGGCTAGTGCTATTTTAATATCAGCTGAATATCACAAAATACCTTTGAAATGGTGTAAATGGTTTATTTATTTTAAATAGATCATTAAGATGCTACAATTAATAAATCAATTACAGAAGAGAAGGAAGAAAAGACAAGAAATTGATAGATGGCAACCCACAACAGCAGCTTCTGTACTTACTTTCAAAATGTTCACAGGGATGCTGAACTCAGGGAACGTACCTTCCTAGATAATTTGTATTCAGCTGAAGGGATAAGGTTCAAGATATGCTTGGTTCATTACGGTGCTTTTTTTGTATGAATTTAGCTTTCTGATTGATAAAAGCTTCCAAATGACCTTGAAAAGTAAAAGTATTTAAAAGGACAGCCCTCCATCACGGTTTGCTCTTTTGTCCATCTCAGAAAGATAAAACCATTACATCTTATTGCTGCTAATTCTGGGGTGAAAGGCAGAGCTCCTGGGAGGGGGGAAGGTGTGCTGCTGATCAGTGACCCACCTGCTGTGCTCCAAATGGACGTGGAGCCCAATCCTCAGGAGAACCAGAGCTTTGCTGGTTGGATTCGCATCTTTGCTAGAGCAGGGCAAGGAGTACATTTTGACAAGGTGTTAGGGAAGGAGAAGTCTTTCATCTATAGGAAATAAGAAGAAACAA